CCACATCGAGCCCGCGCTCAAGGCGTGGCAGGCTGCTTGGGCCAGTAACCCGAATCACAGCCTTGAGCGACCGAACCCCTTTGGCCTGGGACCCCTCTCCGCCGATGCAATCCCACTGCTCGACCTCGCATACGTGCGCCTCTTCGTCAATCTCTCTCGGTCTAAAGAGAAGTTTTGGCAGCGAGACTGGGACGCCATGGCCGAGGAACTCTCGCGGGGCAGCGAGATCATCCAACATGCTGAGCACTCGCCTGCCTCCAACACAGAGTCTAACGGCACTGATCCATCGGACAACTCAGTCGCAAGCTCCGCGTTTGTTGAATCGCCTGCCACGCAGCAGTCTGCCTCACCCGAATTCGCGGCTACCAAGTTTCCCAGCCAAGCGCAGGCTCCTCAAGCATCCAGTCGTACTACCTCGCGTCGGGAAAAGCATCTTCGGAAGGCGGCTTTTTACGCAGCCGACTCGCTCGCCATGGCTGACAAACTCGGCGTGACATTTGCCGATTTCACCAGCAAGGAGCTGCCCCTCCAGTCAGCCATGTGTGCGTTTGATTGTGCTCAAGTCCTCGCCGAATGGATTGCCACGCTCCAGGATCGTGTGGGCCGCTACCTCGGCATCCTCGGCCAGGATGATGTTGACCTTTCGCAAGTGCCAGCCATCATGTTGTTGGAAGAGGAGGATGTCAAGCTCATCGGCAAGGTGCAGGAGGTACTTGCGTCCGCTGAGATGAAGATGAACATGGAACTCGTCAATGGCAACATTCCTGCGGTACAGATGGACGATCACACGGGCTATGCTGCAAAAGTCTTGCGCGTCACGGCTTACATGCTGGACAAAGCCGCCGTGTGGCCAGGTGAGTTGGCCGAACATGTCTACATCTTGTTTTCCTGCTAACCACTTCGTAGTCACCCATTTGATGGCCCGATGCCTGGAGACGCACGCAACGCATATGCGCGCCCGCGCCGAAAAGTCGGTCATGGCTTGCGAGTAATGGAGCAAAAAGCAAGGAGGGAAAAAGAGTCATGAAAGACGAAACGAGGAAAAGACAAAAGCGTGACGAAAAATCTGACGATCTGGGAAAAACATCATACCCCGAGGCTACGAAACATTGACCTACGATTCTATGACCGGTGCCCTGCGTGTGGCCACGCTAGCGAGTTACAGCCATATTTGGCATGGCTCCGCATCGTCGAGCGTTCTGCCCTTTGCGGCGGGGCCCTCTTGTGTTTTATTCATTAGGCGTTGTGGCATTTTCACTGGCGGCAATCTCGTGCGAATTGATTTGGGTGGCGACGTGCGGAAGGAAGTCGACAAGGAGAAGGGGATTTACAACGATGAAGGACAGGAGGAGGGAGATGCCTACGTTCAACAAGGCTTTGTTTATGCGGACCACTTTGGGCCCACGGAGTGAGGGAAGAAGGATTGGCCCGGAAGCACGGAGCCAGGTGCAGGTGGTGCACCCGCTTGAGGGTATTACGAACGATGGTTCCGAACGTACTGCCGACAGGAAGCGGCTATGAAATATAGTAAAATTGGGATTCGTCTAATACACGGCGATGGGACTTGACTCTCGCTCTCTCTGCATACTCGCTCGTGTTCTGAAAGGCAGGAAAGCTTGAAGAGTGTTTGTTCGAGCAACGTAGAATGAGGGAAGCCATCAACCGACAAATTACAAAGAACATAATCACGAAGAGCGCAAGTAACAATCGCTCTAGGTATACCAGGCCCTCTATCGCGTCATCACGTATCGGACACAGCTCAATGGCAAGCCGCCATATAGTAAAGTAATATGGGTCCCGAATCAAATCATTGCAAGCATCCCCAGGACTGGCTTCGCAGACCGCCATCTCGATCAAGTCTGTTTCCGAAGCTGATCGTCATAAACGTAGAATCGCCAGCTTTCGCATCAGTTCTGGTACCCATCAGAGCAAAAGCCCATCTTCACCACTACGATGTCATCGAACAATGATACTTTCGAGCGCCACGTCGCTCTTGTGTTGGAAATCAGGCCACCCAGACGAAGCTACACCGAAGTGGCAATGGCCTTTCCTTCGTGCACACCTCCGACGCAATTCGACTTCCAACGTAGAGATCGTTCTGCGATTCCTGCTGTCCATCAAACTCCCCCCACCTGTCAGGAGCCTCTTGCGGAGCCACGGCACAATGGGCCAGTCAGGGGCTAAGGGCTTCGAGAGCGTATATACAAGGATCATGGAGGGCCAGTATTCAGATGTATTCCGAACCCATACCGATAATCCATTGCCTGCGGACAACGTGTGGAAGACCTCTTCACCCTGCTACAAATCGAATCCCCCCCCCAATCTATCTCGAACGATACAAGGTCGCATTCCAGTAGTGTACGTGCTACCTCACTGCCCAGAACTGGGTCCAGAAGGATGGAAATAGATTCTCGACGCGTCGATAGTGCGCGATCCTCGAGGTGCCTCCGCCCCCATCCCCGTGATACAAGAGGCTCGCGGTACTGGTATGGGTCCGGACCTTGCAAGACGTGGGGTGTACCCATCGCTTCAGGCGGGTTTCCTTGGAGTATACGAATAAGCCCTGACGGTCTTCCGCGATAGGGAACCCCTGCCAGCCTCGATCGCGGTTCGGTTGGAGGAGGGGAAATTCTCGCGTTGTTCGAGGCGGGGAGGCTGACGGCCAAGCTCTCGCGTTCGTACTCGATGAAGGACGGGCCGTGGAAGATCCATCTCACAGCAGAGCACGAGACGCGCGTGTGCCTTTGCAACTGAGACAGGCATGGCAGACTCGTCGTCCAGGAGGGTGTTGGTTGGGTATGATACTGATCGCGACATATTCAACGACACTATTGAAGTAGAGCCAGTGTAGACCTCCTTTGATCAGGGCAATGAAGCAGTCACTCGATAAAAAGATAGGTCCTCGAACGTGTGGTGTAGGTTTCATGATGTGAGCACCTTGGAGGTACTCACGACGAGTCTAGGTAATGTCCGTTTTCCTGATCAGCTAACCCTCAATCACCTTATCGCTACACCACACCTTTCTGCCCTGCCCGGTTTCACTATAGCCCCCATATGGGCAAACGCGCCCGCGCCGCGGCGCTCCCTTGACCGTCAAGGTAGCCATACTCAGGTTGTCCGCTAGTTTGTGGGGTTTCTTTCGAGTCATTCGGGGAGGTGGCAGGTTATTCTGCTTGAAGGGGATTCGGATGATTCGTTTCCTGTGGCGTTGGCGCCTCTAGGTTCTGTTGGTCAGCTGTATTCATGGACCGGGGAGTTTGTCTTGCTATTGCGCCAGGCTGTTGATGGTGTTTCTGCTCTGGTAGTTGAGTTGTGGCTTCTTTGCCATCTGTAGCGTCGAGAGCGTCTCGCCTTAGCTATGGGACCGGTGTCACATGTGACGTGATATCAATCTTGTCCGCACCTGCTGGTGCTACAGGGCAAAGCTCTTGGTCGTGGTAAATAAAGCCGGCTGGGGTATATTATAGTGTTGTACACGGAGCCAGTCATCAACCTCCTCGTGAGAGCCGAATCTGGATCGCGACTGCATCATGACGGACGGGAAGCCTCTTGATATCGGTCATGGTCCTGATGGGCTTGTCCCACATACTCTGAGCAAGAGGGGCTTTGGGCAGCTGGCTGGTCGTGTTCGACAGTCTGATCTTGTCGGAAGGGAAAGGTTTATGCAATGCTATTTCCTTGAGTAGGTTTGCACGTTAGCAGACTAGAAAGTTTACTTTAGAAGAGCAAGGAGAGGAGTAAGGAGGATGAGTGGATGTCCTTGCCAGTCTAAGAGGCTATGATTGCCAGCATTCTGCGGCTGAGAGCAACAACTGCGGGCGACTGTTGTTTTCAGCTGTTGGAAAACGTTCTTGTTGTAACAATGTTTGCGGAGAGAAAGCGATTATGGTAGAAATACACAGAGCAGAAGGATTGTTCGCGACTGATCTGTTGCTGCTCAGGGGTGGCCGCGAAAGCTGCCGTGAGTGGCTCTCGCAATCGGGAAAAGCTGTTCGTAGCCTTAGAATAAGGTACAACTACACAGTTCTATATCAGAATCCTACAAGCATGCTTCAAATACCTGATCTTTTCTGCAATGCGCCGCAAGGTTTCGTACGCAGTTCCTGTGTTTGACACCGTGGGTGATGCGCGAATCACTAGACGGGCAGTTGTCAGGACATCCGCAACCCATTCGTGATGATCGGCGTGGACCTCCAGCAAAGCTTGCAGGACTGATAGGACGTTATACTCTGTACTTCGTCATAGCTAGTGGTAAACGGCTATTGAAAATACTGCGGCGTGGCAAACAGCTTGATAAGCATAGAACTGCTTCAATAGTTTCAATATTTGCATCCGCAATCAGAACTTAGCAAGCAACTCGTCACAATGATGATTTGCGGCCGTCTACAATTAAAGCTTCATAGACTTTGGATCTGTCACAAGAGATGAAGAGGACTAATGCTGCTTAGCCCCCTTCGAGGAAGAGAAGCTACACAGAACAAGAGGCATGTTGCTGTGAACAATATGAATGTTCTCGGACGAGAGTACCACCCTGTTTCCAGCCATGAACCGAGAACACCTGTGAATAAGTCAGCAACAATAGCTGTGCAATACCGTTCAAGGTTGTTATTGTCAGCGGCCTCAGTGCCAGGTTGCCGACACGTAAGTATGGGGGTTGCTGGCCCGCACGCATAGGGCTTGTTGACATTATGCGGTCGTTGGCCTGAGGCCGCCTTCCACACACGGTCTACGCGCCAGGTGGGCCATGCCCATAAGCAAAGTTTCGTTGTGGTCAGGCTCTCGCTGTTCCTTCGCTTTACAACCACACACACCCAAGAACTCTTCCCCTCCATCCACAACCATCCCTAATCATCAACCCCTTTCTGGCTTTGCCTTGTTGCATCAACAAGATCATTAATATTGCTTGCTGCATATACGAAAGCATTAATTACTTAATCATTAAGCTTTTCATCGTTGCCTCTTGCAGAAGACCTTCCGAGCCTGTGTAGCTTGCTTCAGCAATGTCTCACCACGGCCAATACTCCGATCCTCCTGCAACGCTTGGGCTCAACGTCTACGAAGAAGACGAAGTCCTCCAATCAACGGAGTCCCTTGCCGGTGCTGATGATGTACGGCCTGTCTAGAACGCAGACCCAACACCATCACAGGGCAACCCAGCCGGAGAGACTCAACCTGGGGCTTTCCAGGCTAATATACACACCGACGTTCTTCGAGAGTTCGAATCGGAGGCTCAAACAGTCTTGAAGAAGAACGACGAGGAAGCTCAACGGATGAGTCTCATGCTTGGTAAGTTTCTAATCCAAAATCCATCGTGACTGCTACTGACCCGACCTTCAAAGAGTCCATCAAACTCTTCCAGAAGGAAAATGATTACTACCCGACCTCCGAAGAGATTCTGGTAGACCTTGAAGAGAAACTCAAGAATCGCTCTGATGCTTGGAAGCTGGCGGTGTTGTTTGCCAAGCACTGCTATGTATTCGGGCTTGGACATTCGGGGACTGGCCCCATGCTGTCTCGACTTCTTGCCATACAAGTCACCGGTCCCAACTCTTTCTCCAAAGAGATTATTGACCCCCTCTTGACCGGTGATAACGTACAGGGCAGCTATGGGAATGTCAGCGACGCAGCCCCGGCTCCGGAGGTGGCTCAGGTGCAAGTGCTTGCTCCAGCAGAGTTCATCAAGACTCGAGCTCAGATTCCAATGCTCGGGCAATGTCAAGGTTACGTTGGAAGTCTTGAACACTTCGAAGGGCTCAAGGACGCATACTACGCGTTCTCTAATGGTGCCTCAGGCCTTGCCAACGAGGAGCTCGAGATCAGGCAGGATGCTCCTGCCCAACGAAGGTGTGTTCGGCAATTGTTCGAAGCCATCATGGACATGAGCAGCTCCATCGAAGCCGCTGATGATGTCGGCACCAACCCTGGTCAAGATGGGGAACCCGCAGCTGCCTCTGGCAATGCCGTCGCTGCTGCACTGAGGCCTAGAAACAAACGTCGCATCGGCGACATCCTTGGTTCTCACGGCCTCACCAATACTGAGAAGATCGAGGGCCTGATCGGCCGCATGCTGTCCGACCTGGACATCGAGGTTCTCTGCTGGGAGATTCTGGTATGTCACTACTCAACTTGCCCAACATCAATCGTAGTGCAAGCTCAAACTAACTTTCATTCACAGGAGGCTGCAATCCGTGCCCAAGAGGGCCTGCACAAGGTGGCCCGGTGGCAGACGGAGCTCATGAAGGACAAGTTCGCCTCCTTCGAGGCAAGGTGGAACTCCATCTGCGAGGCTCTGAGGGTAAGGTCGGCTAATCGTCAGTTCCGCTACAACATGCTAATTTGTAATCACACAGGCTCACAAGCTCATCCTGCAGTCTCTGGGACAGATCTCATGGGTCGAGAGAGTGGCTGCCGCGCCTCACAAAGAGCAGGTGGTAAGTCTTCCTCCATTTCCCAGCTTGTCTCAATCATACAAACTGACGAAACTAGCGGAAAACCGCCAACAAGAAGTGTAACATGGTCAAGACACTTCAGAACAAGGCCGGCGCCGACGCCATCAAGACCAACACACGAAACGGTCAATGGAGTATCGACGAGCGCCTTGGTATCACAGATGCCACTGGAGCCACACTCTTCCAGAGCACCGTTCGTGGCAGCCGCGGCCTTGAGAATATCCGACCTTCCCAGACTCAGGCACCTGGACCGAAGCGCCGCAGGGGCGAGTAGTTGACGCGAGTCGACTGCGTCGTAGTATACGCACTTGGCTTGGAGTTTGTTTATCGTACATAAGCTCGGTGGATAATATTGTTCCCTCCCAAGCCAGAGTGAGGGCTGGCAGGTTTTTGAGATTTGGAGTTTGGAGTTTGAATTTCGCGTCGTGGCACAAAAACGTGCCTTTTGGGGAATATCCTTATACATATCACGAGGCCTGAAAAAGCAAGGGCTTCAGTTGAGAAAGGGGTGTCGCTGGTAGATCGGGCCTGCCTGGGCGATAGAGCAGAGCAGACAGAGCCGAAAGACAACAGCAGATACCATAGAAGTTCTCAAGATAAACACGGAAGAAGAGATTCTATTGCGTTATGAAATATCCAACTATCTGTGATGCTTAGATCGTGATTGCAACAGTGTGTGCCCTGCTGCCAAGCACAATCAAAATCTTCTGGCTATCACAAACTGTTGCGTCCTCTTGTTTTCAGGCCAACTGATCACGAACAGATGACTATAAGACCTGAATATCATCGAAAAGTAGGCAATCGTTCTCGTGGCGTCATCACTGGCATGTGCTCACTGGAGCTGACAATCATAACAGGCTGCGTGAGTCTCGAGACTAGAAGAGATAACCAAAAGAGGTTGTCATAGATACGATCCAAAGTTCCTCTTCCGGGTAGCGGCATGGTGCATTGCTTTCCTGCAGGCAGCCGTTGAGACTCACGATGTTCGGCATTGGCCTGGGCTTGATAGTATCTTGGTATTGAATGATCCAAGTTCAGAGTGACATGCCTCATCAGGATGATCTAGCACTTTCTGGTCATCCTGCCAGAGGCAGGCGTCCCAGAGTAGCATTCATATTTTGGTAGCACCATCCGGAGTGCCAGCTCCTTTTGTAACATGGTGCCGCCCTGGGGTAGCATTGAGAGAACAGGCTGTTGCTTAGAACGAGGATGAAGATCGAGTGTTCTGATCCTGATCATAGGCCAGTAAGAATGACAAAGAGCGTCCAGTATAATCGCTGCAAGAAGGGCTTTTCGCATCATCACGCGGCACAAGACTACTCTGAAGCACGAAACGGACTACGTCACAACAAAAGAGCGTCACTCGATAGTATCCTGTTGGCAGGAGTGCCTTAGTCCCAAGCCCAGTAACTAAATTGACCACCGTTGCGAAGCCTAGCATAGATCACCGGAACATCGTCTAACATGTTCTAGGTGAGCGCGTCAGCGATGACAGAACCCGAAATTTGAGATCTAGGCCACCGATATCAGAGATACAAGATGGTGGCTTGACGAATCACTACGACCATCTTCAGAGAGTTTACGCTATCCCTCGAACACAACAGCAACAACGACAAGTCCACCCCTCGACAGTGTCTTGTCCATCGACATGCAGATCTTCAGCGTCACCCTCCTCGCCGCTCTGCTACCACAGTCGCCACCGACTGGCACCTCTATTTCATGGACTGTGGATCAGCCCAGGGTGGAGGCAATGGCGAGGGCAACCATAAGATCCCACCCTTCGAAGTCGCTGTTCAGATCGAGACGGCGTGTGAGAAAGGCGTGAGTCAACCCCCGTGTACAATCAGGCCAGTATATTGATTCGGGAACAGTGCAATGTGACTGGAAAAGCCGGTCGTAACTCCTTCTCGACCGGCAACCCTTGCAACTGTGACGAGGTTTTGGATGTAATATCTCCTTGTTGGTATCTCTCGCCACAGCTTGAAGCTGATTATTTGGGAAGTACACGTGGGACGAGGCGTCGGGGGAGCTTCACGCCAATAACGCAGGCGGTCGAGTGGCCCATTGTATTCAAGTCGAATCTTCGGTGTCCAGCTGCAGCTTTGGCGCTCTGGATGGTATCAACTGCGCTGTTTCGCGGGACTGGAACTGCTACAGTTCGTACTGCTGCAGGATTTTCTGTTAGGCTTGAGCATTTGTGTCCTGGTGGAAAACTGGATGTGGTAAACGCACAAATCCCATTGTGGTTGCCATACACAAGATCTGTAGACAATCTCTCGAATATGACACATGTCAAAACACGTGCTGTGCTCGGATCATACATTTACCACATTGTTGATTACCTATATGTGCAAAAACTTTTTGGGTGCATCACGTTTGGCAGGCAGACATTTTCCCAGCATCATCAACAGCACCCCGTCAAAACAAAACAAATGCTCCGAGGCGGATTCGAACTGCCGTCAATGCAGTATTGTAGTAAGAACCACAATGCATCATCCTAACCAACTAGACGATCGAAGCTACGATGGTGGGCGGCACAAACTGGTGGGCTCATGGTGCTCATGGTTGTGGAGTATAGCGACAAATTCCTGCCCTACAGTGGAGGCGACCGACACCGCATATGGCGACCCAGTCGATCGACGATTGTTTGTCAAGATGGATGCCAAAAGGGGTGAGCAAGTCATGTCGACATGGCATTGATTAACCTGCGAACAGGATGGAGATATGGAGGCTGACAGATTGGAGATGGAGAATCCCGTCCATCCTCGAGAGTCTTGCTAAAAAGAAATCATGATTCAATCAAACATTACTACTGGAATTTTCTTTCAATGCGTTCAAAATGGAAGACCTTTGGGACGAGTGCCGACTGCCGCCTGTCTCATCCGCTCTTGATCCTCGCTTCCAGCGCCCGAGACAACGAATACGCTACACATGCCACAGGCGGAAGAGAAACCTCGGCGCCAACCACGACACGCCATACCTCGATCGTGGTGCCGGAGCCACCGGCCGCTCTGTCTCTGAGTCGAATATCTTCCAGCTGCGGAGCATCCACACGCTCAAGGCGCCGGCGACGAACATGAAGGCGACAAAGACCTGCGCCGAAGTGAAGTCCTTGCCGTCGGACCCAACCGACATTTCAATGGCAGCGACCTCGGCAAAGGTCGTGGGCAGCACCATGGACAGGCAGACGACGCCAAAGGTGCCGGCCATCTTCTTCATGCCGACAACCTCGACAAGCACGGGCGTGATGGTGCCCCAGAAGGTGCCGCACGTGGCGCCGGCGAGCACAGCGAACACGCCCAGTAGCGCGAAACCCTGCGCGGGGATCCACAGCGCGAAACAGAAGACGGCGCACAGGGCCGTCATGAGCATGGCCATGTTGATCCTGCCGACGGTGTCGCTGAAGTAGCTGACGAGGGGGCGGCCGAGGCCGAGGCCGAGGTTGAGCAGCGCGTTGGCGACGGAGCCCTGGGTGGGCGTCATGCCTACCGACGCGGCGTAGCTGGGCAGCGAGTAGAGGAGAACTATGTAGCCGAGCTCGGTGGCGATGCCCCAGATCATGACGAGGAGAACCTCGACGCGGCCAAAGTCGCGGGGGTTGAAGCGTAGCTCGTCGCGGCGTGCGACGCGGCGCGCCTTGCCGCCCGTCTCGCGAAGGAAGAGGCTCGCAACGACGTTGGCAATGAGGGCGCAGACGGCGAGGATACGGTACGTCCAGTGCACGCCGAAGCGGTCTATGGCCGTTTTGGTGACGAGACTGTATATGAGGCCGCCGATGCCTGCACCAGAGGTCGAGAGGCCCACGGCGAGGCTGCGTTTTGTCGAGAACCAAGGGGGCAAGACGACGAGGCAGGGATATAGAGGAAACCCATGCCCCAGCCGAAACACATGCCTTGGGCGAGAACGAGCTGCCATACTTTTGTGACGAAGGAGGAGCTTAGGAGGGAGACGAAGATGATGAAGGAGCCGATAAGCATAGTAGCGCGCATGCCAAGGTGCTTGTGGCACTGGGTCGCGACGGGCGAGCAGAGCAGGACCTGAGAGATGGACAGACCGCCGATGATGGCGTATTCGAAGTGGGAGGTTTTCAAGTCGGTCGACTCATTAGAGTAATGTGCCATGATGACAGCCCAGGACTGATGACTTGGTTAGCTTCGAGTCGATGTTGAAGATGGGAGACTGGGGGATTCGGACGTACACTGTTGATACCCCATGTATGCGAGTTGACGAGGAAGACGCAGAGTGTGCAAACCCAGGCGTAGCCGCCATTGAGAGGTACTGGCTCGATAGAGGTGACGTTTGTCAGATGCTCAACAGCCTCATTGTCCGTCTGCGTCTCGAATGCTTCGCCTCGCGGCAACTCAACCGTTGTTTCGTTGTTTGGGGTCATTGTTCTTGTGATAGCTGGCTGGTCGACTTGAGACAGGCGTGTTGATAATCCCATACTTGTCCACTCAATGAACATCAAGCCAAGTAATGGCACAAACGTCGTGTTTTCTGATTCTTTATGCACATGTTGTCGATGCGGGGGCTCCGTAGTCGGCCGGGGCGTTTAGTCATATCCCCCAAACCAAGGTAGATAGATGTAGATAGATCCAAGAGCAAGAAGACGTCGGTGGTGGGGGAGCTCGTCGCGCCTTTTGGCCTGGATGAAGCGGGGTTATGGGGGGTCATACTGCAGGCAGCATGCATCAGCTCGATGCAACTCTTCAACTCTACATCCGCTGGTGATTGTGCATCCCCTCCTCTTACTCCACGCCATCACCAGTAGGTTTTGTACACGCCGCCAACTCCTGATCCATAACCGCACAATGAACACAAGAGGACATCAGAAGCGCATCCTACCGAGGACTGGATATCCTCGGCGGCGGGCATTGGCGGCATGCTTGATATGTCGCGAAAGGAAACGGAAGTGGTACGCCTGCAAGACCTCCCAGATCTTGCTCAGAGGCTGATGGTTTCCTGTCTCAAGCGATAACCTGAGGCCGACGTGTTCGTCATGTCAACAGATCGGGGCTCCGTGCGAATACACCAAACAGGACTCATCATCCTTTGACGCCGCATCGCTTAGAATACTAGACCAGCTCTCTCTCATCGAGGGACTGGTTAGAGACATACACCCCGAATCCTCTCTGACCCGCGAGTCTCGGTCGTCTGGCTCAAACGGTGACGCGAATTTCATACCAACACGCGTATTCGGGGAAGCTTCAACAAGGGCCGCAGTACACACATCTCTATCCTTGAATACTGATGCAACCCACAAATCAGTGTCCGACCAGATCCTTCAGTGGCCAGTGTTCGAACAGCTTTTGTCTTCTCTACAGCGGTTTCCCTACAGCGACTTCCATGGCACAGAGGCTTATAGCTATCTTGACGACCTTCTGACCCCGTCCGAAGATTTGAGTTCGCGTTCATCATCAGGACCGCCCTGGAAATCTTTTGCGCTGATCAGCATCTCCACAGAGAAGGTTGACGTCGAGAAACTCGTTGAACAGTTTCACCAACGAGTCAATATCAAGAACCCGATTCTGAGTCGGCAGCTGGCTAGCGAATACTGTCAAAATTTCCACGAGGATGGACTTCTCTTCAACCTAGAGACCTGTCTCGTATTGCTCATGTGTGCTCTTGGTGCCATTTCCATGGATTATGGATCTGTCATCACGAGCCAAAGCCCCGGAAATAACCCAAGCTCAGCGCCAGATCTGGCGAATTTAAGACTTGGGCACAGTTATTTCACAGCTGCGGAGAAGAGGCTAGGGGCAGCCATATCAACAGTCAACACCCTTTCCATCCAGTGCTTGTGTCTTGCTGGGTGAGCTCGACGGGTCAACATACGAGAGGAGAGTGACTGACAATCATCGCTGCAGGATATTCCACATGTACTCCATTCAGCCAATGCATGCGTTGCGTGTGTTCCACGCCGCGGGAATCTCTCTTCAGAACCTTTCTTCCACGGGGTAGGTGCGGGGTCTGCCCTTCACAATTCTTGTGTCAGCACTAATCTTGGTGCTCTTTCACAGTGCTCGACCAGCCGGAGAAGCATCTCAGATGTATTCGAGCCTATTTTGGACGTGCTATAAGTCCGAGAGGTCAGTCGAAAACCAAACTTTATTGCATTAGAGCCTGACCTCTACAGAGAAATCCTAGCCGAGATACCGATCAACGCACCCGCCTTGCGAGAACCTGGAATGCCAAATGTATACCCTCAACCCCCACAAGCAGCCAGCATTGCTTCAAACGAATGGGCTGCCGATGAGGAAGACAGCTGGTACTTTCTGCTCTCCGAAATCGCCCTTCGCCGTATCACAGACCAAGTCACCGAGCTGGTCTCCAAGTACATTCATGCCGAGATCGACTTGTCAGGATCACAAAGCGTTCAACAGCTCATTCCCGTTGTAGCTGAATTTGAGCAACAAGCTGAAACCTTCCGAGAGAATCTCCCACCAGCGGTCAAGTTTCCTGACGTCCCTGAAGCGGCCAGCACTGAATGGCAGCAGTACAGCCGCGGCCGCTATTACCGCCTGCTTGAGCTCATGCACCGGCCCTTCCTCTTCGACGCCCTACACGATCCTGGATGCAGCCCCGTTGTTCGGTCACTAGCGGAGAAAGGACTCCAGAATGCGCTGCGGTACATTCAGCACAGTCATATATGCCATCGCCACCACGGTACGTGGCTCCAGCTTCGGAATGCATTGAAGGAAGCAAGCCTCCTGCTTGCAGCGTCAAAGACGACGTGGCTGAGTATGCCTCGCGGATGGGAGGCTGGGATCGCCAAAGCCCAGGCGACATTCGACCACTGGTCTTGGGAATTTCCGTCTTGCAGAACGTATTCCAACGTACTCCAGAAGCTAGCCGAATCATCCCTAGCAGATCATGGCGTAGATAATCCGATGACTTATAGCTGAACATGGAGAATGACATCGCGTTGGTCAATCAATACGAAACAGGCAGTTCAGCAGCCAAAATGAATGAGCTCATGCAATCTGTGCCCTATCACGAGCTGCCCATCTGGAGGAGTATAATTCGGGGCAAACTGCCGAAGCTTGGTTGGCCACAAGCAGATGATGATGCCCATGGCGATTGTGGACCATGCGAGTTGAGGATAGCTTGGGGCATCAAAGGGATGCATGCCTTGAACACGATGGTGTGGGCTTTAGCCGTCGCTCCCCAATGCCGCCAATCCCCACTGTCACATCCGTTCCCCGGTGTTGCCGCCACTCCCCGCGACGCTAAACCGCCCAAAAGTAAGTAACTATTGATGCAGCGTTCCTAATTCGGGTACTTCCCCCAAGGAAAAGCGACTACACAAGACTCTGGTTTGGAGTATTGATGAGTGAATGGATTGAGAACCGAACCTACGATCTTCATGGAGTTTGTGTGGTTCCACTGGATCCTTGGCAGATAACACAGATGCAGCTTGGATTATTCTGGACCAAGGTTTTTGTATAAAATGATGGTAACTTCTTCGGTTCGTAACTGAAAGGGCTTGGAGATTCCACTCTAATGTGCTTGTCCAGCGGTACCCCTCTACCTAGATCCCCTTGACATCTCAACGGCATCAGTCTGTACAGAAAGAAAACAAAAACAGAGACCATGTCGGCAGACAGCAAGAAGACCCATGTCTCGCTGACCGAAAGTCGCCTTGGAACGAAAGCTTCTCGCTTGCTGGTCACGCACGTCAACAAGCTTGAACTGGACGATGAACTGATCAGTCTCAAGGAGTATGTGCTGACGGACCTCGCTCACGCCGTGATGCTCACGCGTGCTGGCATCTTTGATGCTCAACATGGTGCTAGCATCGTCCAGGCCCTCCTCAAACTTCACGGCAGTGATACCTCTGCTATGCTTGCGCCTGACCCTGAGGTTGGCACTCTCGGTCTGCAAATCGAAAAGTACCTTGAGAAAGTGCTTGGCTCTCGCGGCCGCGATATTCAGCGCGGTCGCAGCCGCATCGATCAGAAGGCTACGAATTGGCGCCTCATAAACAGAGCGAGCCTGACAGATGTCATACGAAAACTCGTCGATCTTGCGACCGAAATCTTAGCAACGGCGGATCGATACACTGGCATCCTCATGCCTGGATATACTCACATGCAACACTCTCAGCCAACAACAATCGACCACTACCTCAACGCTCACTACTGGGCGGTGTCACGAAGCTTGGATCGCCTTTACGATGCTTACGATCGCTTGAATGTTTGCCCCTTAGGCGGCGCAGCCTACAGTGGTACTTCTTGGCCTATCAATCGTGATAGCACCTCGACCTATCTTGGTTTCGACCATCCCATCCTGAACGCCAGAGATGCCGGTTTCGCGGCCATTGACATGGGTGCCGAGCTCGCAGGTGCCCTCGCCGCTACACTATCGACCATCAGCCGTCTCGCCTCGGACCTCAACTACTGGTCCTCCAGCGAAGTCAACCTTCTGCGCATCGACGCCGCACTTTGTGGCACGTCGAGCATGATGCCCCAAAAGCGCAACCCGATAGTGCTAGAACGCATCCGTGGCCTTGCCGGCGTCTCAGTGGGCTGGACCGCTAGCCACCTGGGTGTCATGCATACGGCATATTCCACCGATGTCGATCAGTCATACGTCCACAATTTGCTCCCGGGACAGTGCGCCGAGACGGTTGGTGCCATCGCTCTACTTCGCGAGGTCTTGGCGACGGCCGAATTCGACGTGCCTGCCATGCGCATCTCGGCGGGCCAGCACTGGTCGACGGCGAGCGCACTGGCGGACGCCCTCGTTTCCTTGTGTGGTCTGAGCTTCCGTGACGCGCACGAGAGTGTTGCTCGTCTGGTCGAGGCGCATGAGCGTGCTGGTTGTCATGGTGAGCTGCGGGGCAAGCTCATCGACGATGCCTTCAGGCACGTCTTGTCGGAGTCCGATGTCAGAAGCATACTTGATCCGGAGTCTTTTGTTGAGTCGAGGATTAGCAGTGGAGGCACTTCTCCCAAGGCACGGCGTGAGCTCGCGGCATCTGCATCGGCTGATCTTGCTGAGAAGAAGAAGAGTCTGCTAGCCCGCGTTGGTCATGTTGATAAGGGGCTTCAACTTTTGCTCAAAGACGCACAATCACTTGTTATCTCTCCAGAGTAGTATAGATTGCTTTGCCTGATGATGAAATGGAATCCACGTTTGACGAGAAAGGCTGGTGCTTATCGTGATTCTACATCATAAACCTACGTTACTGATATGTTTTGACAGATGATGCTGCTGTCAGATTTAAAAATTCAGTGCTATGAATATCGGGTCGAGACTAGGTTGCGAATAGACATCAAAGAAGAAGCCCACTGTAAATGCACCATCAAGCCGTACTTGCCAGGTGGAGATCATGTATCCAGAGCCAGATGGTATGTGAACGGCTTGGCCTTGATAAAAGCATGTTCCTAATCTTCCTTGAGGATCTTCAGCGCAAAGCTCACTATCGAAATTGCGAAAACTACCTAAATTCATGTGTGCCAGTGTGGGCCCTTAGCAAAACTGCCCTCGTGGATACGCAGTTCAGCATAGTGATCACCCAGGGAAACGATACTATTCAAGAATAAATTGTCTTGCGTGATATTTACGAATGACCCTCGAACGAGACACTAATCAAGATATCAAAAAGCTATCATGAAAATTTCGGGTCTGCACAGAGGAAGTTGACTTGCTTTCAAATGCCAAGAGATGAGAGCATATGTGATCGAGTATCCCATCACCCATCGGGACCTCGATTTGCCACCTTTGACATGTGGTCCTGTCTTGATGTCCTGCTCGCAACTAGGCCTGTGCATCTGAATCCTCGATAGTCATCACCCGATGACTCGCCTATACCCCCGCCTTAGAATAACGAGGCTGAGACCCATCGGGGGAAGGGGCGGGGTTGACGATGACATGAATGACGCTGACGACAAGACAGGGAGAAAAGAGGATAGAAACAGAATGGCAGGCAGAAACGTCAAAGACCATGGCTGGCACGATGGAATGAAACCACCACACCTCCTTCATCAAGACATCAGTAAATCTTTCGTCATCGATGATATTGCAGACGCCACCATATGAGCTCGCGAACATCATAGCTCGATACTAAGCGACTGAAATGAGGTGTCATACCTGTGGTGTTCGAACGAACCTTAGCGTCCAGTTCAGTCATTGGTACCTAGGGAAAGGTGTGCCAGCTGTCTGGTTCTCGGGTTCGACTTCTCGGGAGCGACCAGTTTGTTGGTACCGGCACTGTCCGAATCGCGCGGAAGAAATGCCCGCCAGAGGAAACAGACGTCTTGCCACGTACGACCAGCCTTACGGTATTGCAGATCTCCGGCATCACGATTCATTGCCAAGTACAAAAGTACAAACGCGACGCGCAACCCAACGCGGCTGATCTACAATGTACCGCTACCCATCAATACAGCGGGAAGGCTGGAAGCAACCCCTGGGCGATCTCTTGACGATCCTCTCATCGGGACATCTGACGTGAAGAGCTCGGGCCAGCCTCGGGACCGATGCTCATCGGGGAAGCGGGCGAGCACGCGAAGATAACGAGGCCATTTTCACTTGACTTTTCGCACCCCTATCGACAGCCCTCGGACAACCGCATGCACGCACGCACAGGCTATCCTAATCACACAATGGCACTCAAGTCTCGCGAAATGGTCCCCCACGCCTGCCTCCCGTCAAGATGTGAATGATGATCTCCGGTGTCCTGAATCACGAAGACCACAAGGCGTTGGTCCTGTATGTGATATCTTCAACCAAGATGACCCACCATGCCGCCGAAGTTGCATTCCAGACCGTTTTGTAAGCGCCCGCCTTAATTTTCTCTCCTTTATACGGGAGCCATACCTGGCATCTCTAAGGCCTGAGAGAACGCCTCCTTGTCATATGTCGCAGTTTGACTTACAACGCACTTATCTTCCGGGTTGATGGTTTGACTGCCGACAGCCCTTTTCAACGTTTACAAGGCACTTGCGGCCTGGGTAAGTCAGGTAATAGAGAATCAGGTTCAAAGATGTAGTCTGAAGGTTAGTGTTTGACAGCTCGACCAGGGGTGATGCGAGCTCAGCTTCCTCTGGTTGGAGGAACTTTGGATGGGTAGCGCAGTGACTTGACATGTATACAACGGTTCAAAGATGAAGTCCATCATACCTTGTAGCCCTTGAGGTGAAGCCAAAAACTAGGCTCCGTCGCCTGCATTCTGGTACTCTTGATAATGTGATAGGACAGGCGTGCACCATAACTTGACCCAAGGTCGAGCTGTAACCTTGCTAGACAGCAACCACGCCATCCAGCACACAACCCGACTACTGTTACGGCTATCACGCCGGATCAATCGCCATTTGCCATTGATTCGCAAATAAATTTCTGCAGTGTATTGGAATGTCTTGACTTACCCGTTGGCGAACCGCAGCGGCCTGTGCTCAAGCTTATCGAGGCGCTACAGAGGAAGTCCCGAGACACGGCAGAGTGCCATCGATTAGCCGGGCACCCAGCGTTCCAGTCCGATGGCCTGGTAAATCAGAGCCGCAACACCAAGCTTCTCCCGGCATGAGGAAGTCTTGCTATCGGTGGGGCCGCACGGGAAAGCCCCCACGGTGGTTATACGCGTCGCCCTCGCGAGGGCCATGGACGTGCCAGCGTAGGGATCTTTTTTTGGCCTTGTCCACCGTCAGGCATCTGAGTGATGACGATCATCTCAGATAGCGATGAAAGGCGAAGTGATCGCCAAGCTGGTATGAAGACCATTGCATCGAGATCTCCTAACCATCAATGTCCGGGAAGAAATGCCGTCGCAGAGACTTATCCACGTCTGATGTGGGTAGGCATCCAACCTATATATCAGTCTTGTCCATGGGAGTCCCGAACCATGATAGCCTACTCTCGGCCATCCCGATATCTCACCAGTCGAACCTACAAAGACCGAGACTCTTTCACGACAGAGTCTAGATCGACTATCCGAGACCCGAAGTACCAAAGTCCAGACCATCCGCCAGGCCGGACCCTTCTCGACCATTCTTCACAACCTTGAGACAGAGACAACGACATCCAACACCAACCGAAATGCGCCAGACGCAGTCCAGGGAGCTTGCGGGCAGGCTGCGACAGCTGTACAGCTCAGCCCCTGATACCGTCGTGACTTCTTCCGTCTTTCGCAACCTGGCCCAGGAGGCCAGCCAGGGCTCGCTGGATCGTGCCACTCTTCTCGCCTCCATCCCCGCCCCTCTCACACCCTCTGATCGACCTCTTCAACTCTTGCACCGCATCCTCCTAGACCTTCCCGGCCCATGGTCCACCTTTGACCTCATTCAATGCCATGCTCGCCTCATCAAGTTCATGCCCGAGTCGGCCAAGGCGACAAGTGCCGGCGACTCCACTGGCCTGATCAAGGAAGTTGAGGATCTGATCAAGCAGTCCTATCAGTCTTTCGCGCAGTTTCTTGGACACAGTTCCAAGCCGGCTCTGCGCTCAACTAAAGCCAAGGACTTTATAACACACTCCGGCCTACACAGCTTCGTTGATAGCTTTGCTGTGCCTGTCAAGACCCAGAAGGGTAGGAGTAAACCCGTTGTCGCCATTGCTCTTCCCAACGGCCCGTTGCTGGCGGCGGTCTGCATTGCGACGACGACCTACTATACCGCGTCCCCCATCAACCCGGCAGCTGGAGCAGTGCAGTTCCAGGCAGATGTTCTCCAGGCTGGCGCTGGGTGCATTCTCACGACACCTGATGATTACGACAGGCTGCAGCTCAGCGACAACTGGGTCAGCGAGCATGGCATCGAAATCGCCTTTGTCGAATCAAATGGCGATGACATTCGACTTCAAGACATCAAGGGCCGGCCCTTGAAGATCAAGCAGCCCAAGCCAAATCATCCTGATGACATCAGTCTCATCCTCTTCACCAGTGGTACATCTGGCACCAAGAAGGTGGTCCCGCTCACTGTCCACTCCATTGTCGCCGGTATCGTCTTCGTCATGGACTCGTGGGGATTGACCTCCGACGATGTCTGCCTGAACATGATGCCCTTGTACCACGTTGGCGGCCTGGTCCGCAACATCTTCGCTCCCATGTTCTCCGGAGGCTCCACTGTCTGCTGCGCTGCCTTTGATCCGAGCCTCTTCTGGGATGTCGTCGAAGACATCAATCCTACCTGGTACTACGCCTCGCCGTCTATGCACTCCGTCATCCTGGCGGAAGCTCCTTCAAGGGCCAAGGCGCTCAAGAACAACAAGATTCGACTGGCTTGCAATGCCGCTGGCGGCCTTTTGCCCTCCCTCGCAGTTCAACTTCGAGACACGTTTGATTGCATTGTTCTCCCAAGCTATGGAATGACTGAGTGCATGCCGATCTCGACCCCACTATTGGATTACAAGCTCGACCGCCCTGGCACTTCGGGCCTGTCCACTGGGCCCGAGATGACCGTGCTGGATTGGTCCGATGAAAAGGTCCGTCCTGGTGCCGTTGGCCGCGTTTGCGTCCGCGGCGAGCCGGTCTTCCACGGCTACCTCAAGTCCGATGGATCTCTCGATAAGTCACCATTCAACAAACATGGCTGGTTCGATACCGGTGATCTCGGCTACCTCGACGCTGATGGCTACCTGTACATTACTGGTCGCAGTAAGGAGGTCATTAACCGTGGTGGAGAGCTCATCTCTCCCTTTGAGGTTGAGAATGCCATCATGGCTGCTGCCGGGGCTGTTGATTCACCCATCTCAGGTCGTGTCACACAGGCCCTTGCCTTCTCCCTCACCCACGACGTCTTGCAGGAGGTTGTTGCCATTGCGTTGGTAACCCCTCAAGACAAGCATCGAATTGACCTCAAGACATTGCACGAGGCACTCCGCTCTTCGCTTCAGCAGGTCAAGTGGCCCGTCCTGATCACGTACATGGACGACCTGCCCAAGAAAAACAACAAAGTCCTACGCATCAAGCTCGGAGAGCGTCTCAACATCCCGGAGATTACAGATGACGCTCCCTACCTGGCTAGGCATTGGACTGGTGTCTGCCCTCCCCCGGACACTGACCTCAAAGTCCCGATCGCTTCCGCTCCGTGTGAGGTAGATTGCGGCGCTGTCATGGGGGTCATCCGATCTGCTCTGCCCAAAGACTTCCAGTCCCACGTTCGTGTTCACGAAGGGAACACCGAGGCTTTCCTCGCCCCGAAGGCGACAGCGAAGCATGTTGAACCGCTTGATCCCGATTGGGCTGGCCACATGAAGCGTTTTATCTCGTTGTCTGTTCACAACTACATGGTTCCGAACAAGGTGCATCTGCTTGCAGAGCCTTTGCCGCGAGACCTCAATGGCGATGTGGACGAGGAGGCACTGCAGGACATTCTTGACAAGCTCGAGGAAGAGTCAATGGGTAAGCTGGGCGGTTCGACTGAAGGACGTGTTCTTCAAGCCTTCGCTTCGATTCTCGCCTGCAGCGCTACCGATATCGAGCCCACTGCCGATTTCTTTGACCTCGGCGGTGACTCCCTGAGAGCTGGCAAGCTCATGTCGGCGCTTCGAAACGACTTCAACGTCAACCTGCCTATCAGCTTGATCTTCAGCCAGGGCACACCTAAAGCCCTCTCTGCCCACATCGACGACCTGCTCAAGTCGGCACCCAGCGCGGACCAGATGGAGAGCAACACAGAAGGCTGTGCGAAGACCAACAGCTCAACAAATCCGTTCCTCATGTTACTCCAGCTGTTGCCCCTGGTGGTTTTGTATCCCATGCGCCGCGCTTTCCAGTGGACCATCTTCATCCTCGCTCTCAGCTACACTCAGAGCTGGGTCACTAACATGTCGGTCCCCGGTCGTCTCCTCAACCTCACCATCTCCATCATGTTTGCCCAGGTGGCCGTTCGCGCCGTCGCACCCTTCATCGGCATCGCCACCAAGTGGCTCGTCATCGGTCGTTACCGTGAAGGCCTCTACCCAATGTGGGGTCTCTACCACACCCGTTGGTGGATTGTCCAGAAGACTGTGTCCATCTGCGGAAAGGGTTTCTTCAACACGAACGAGTCTACCAAGCGTCTGTATCTTCGCATGATGGGCGCTCGCATTGGCAAGGGCGTCAAGGTCAACGGCACATCTCTCGGCGAGTGGGATCTTCTGGATATTCGCGATGGCGCTACGCTCGGAAAGTGCACATGTCGCCCCTTCGCTGCTGAGGGTAACACGTCAATGTACCTGGGTCGTATCGTCATTGGAGAGAACGTCTCTGTCGGCGTCGCTTCGATCATTGCTCCAGGCTCTTACGTGCCCGCAGACACTTGCATTGGTCTCAACTCTTCCAGCTGGGAGCAGCAGGATGCTGATGAGTCGTACCGCGACCTGACGGCCAGCCGCGCTCCCAAGCCTCACTGGGCCATGTCGATTTTCTTCACCACACCCATCCTGCTCATCGCCTGGTTCTTGGCACTGACTCCCTGGCTCGGCGGTCTGGTCGGCATGGTGCTTAATCAGCCATTGGACAATAACTCGCCTCTACGTGACATCCTCAACTGGTTTACGCAGCCCGAGCGTGTTGGCTATCACTACCTGGCACTTGTCCTGCGTACTATGTTCAGCCCCTACATTCTCTTCGGCTTTACGGTTTTCATCAAGACCATTCTTGATGCCTGCTTCGGCAAGATGGGACCTAACCCTGTGGAGGGCCGTGGCAACGTCACCACATGGAGGGGGGCGCTCATGAACAGTCTCATGCCTGGATCCCGTCTTCACGACCTTACAGCCATGTTCGGTCAGCATTACGAGGCCACTTCAGTAGCAGTCCGTATGCTTGGTGGCAAGATTGGCAAGCGTGTCTACTGGCCTGGTACCGGTCCCGGCATTGGCGACTATCACCTGCTCGACATTGGCGACGATGTTGTGTTCGGCTCTCGTTCGCGCCTCATCACTTCTGACGGCAATGGATCTGAGAAGATTATCATCCGCGACCGTGCCATGATTGCCGATCGTGTCACCTTGCTACCTGGTGTTGAAGTTGGCCACAAGACTGTTATGGGCTCTGGTGCTTTGACTCGTCGCGGTGGCCACTACGCTGATGGTGGTACCTACGTTGGCTCCAAGGGAGGTGACGCCGTCTGCCTCTCCTCCGGTTCTGACATGTCGGAGAAGAAGGAGAAGCGCCAAAGCCAAATCCACCGCGTTGCCAGTGACGCTACTCTCATCGAGACTCGCGAGGCACCCTCAAAGAAGGCCCCCAACGTGTCCGACCATCCCATCATGGCCAGGGACTCTGACAGCGAGCACACAATCGTCAACCACGATGAGGCTTCCCCTTTCGGTCGCGCCTTTTACTTCAAGCTTGCTCCCTACAGGGTCATGGGCCCTTTTGCCATCTTTTGCTACTCGACCTTCATCACCGTCTTCACGGCCTTCTTCTGGAACGTGCCGAGCATCACCGCCATCCAGCTTGTCGACCGCATCACGCGCGAGTTCATCCCATCGTACGGCACAGCAAAGGATGCCCTCGTTCTGTACGGCATGGTGACGATTGCCATCTCGGTCCTGACCACTCTGCACGCCATCTTCGCCCTTGGCATCGTCATTGCCGCCAAGTGGATGCTCCTCGGCCGCCGCACGCCTGGGAACTACGACTGGGACAAGTCGCCCTACTGCCAGCGCTGGCAGCTCTTCCTGAACATTGAGAAGATTCGCCGCAACTGCTACCGTGGCCACGGCATTCTCGGACTTCTCACCGGCACCGAATGGATCGTCCTCTACTTCCGCGCCCTGGGTGCGACAATTGGCAAGGACTGCTGCCTCTTCGCCAACGGCAACCCCAGTCTCATGTTCACCGAGCCGGATCTGATCACTCTCGGCGATCGTGTCACCGTCGACGATGCCAGTGTCGTGGCCCACATCAACACGAGGGGCAAGTTCGACCTCAACAGGCTGCAAATTGATGACAGGTGTGTCCTTCGCACGGGCAGCCGACTGTTGAGTGGTGCGATGATGAAGAAGGACAGTTGCCTTCTCGAACATACCCTCATCATGGGTGGTGACGTTGTCGAGGAGGGATGCACGATGCAGGGCTGGCCTGCGGAGCGCTACTATGGAAAGCGCATCAACCAGGGCACTGGTCAACCAGAGGGCGGGACGAGCGATTCGGATGGTCTTCGCAGCGATGCTGAGACCATCACCGGATGAGCAATGGAAGTGGAAATACGATAAATATAATTATGATGGAAAGTAAAAAGGAAACACACCAGATTGCAAACGAAGTACGCAAGGAAAAAGGGAAACACGTCGTGCTGGTCACGCAACGGAGGGGATTCGCACATGCAGTTTGCTCAGAAAGCGTACCTTAGTTTAGTGATTTTAGTTTAGCAGATCGGATAATAACAATTGGTTTGTTTCAATACTCAAGTTTGCTACAGTGTCCCCGTGTTCCTGAATGGGTGCTGCTTTGTGGTCTTTGACCGAAGGGTCAAGCTCGGTAACCTGTAGAGGTCTACCTGCGATGACCTGACGTTCTTGCTGGGATACAGTTGAACATGAGTCCGTTTCTCTTTTGCGGGATGTTTATGACGAGGACGAGGTCTGTGGATATACGTGCGTGGCAGAGTAGCTATCGGCGTCGACTGGAGAAGACTAGACTGGCGAGGCTTTGGGGTCGTCCAGTGCGCGGCAGCGTCAAAGAACTGTCGAACGACATCGATAGCGCGGAAGAAAGTTCGAGGTGAAGGCCCCCGAAGAATGCCTTCCTAGCAGGTGCCACTATGTCACGTATACTGGGCCATGACTTCGCTTCAGGCCTGATATATAGCCGGCATGGCAGCATGTACGGGCTCTTTGGGCTGTTTGCTCCACAAGTGCCATCACGGTACACTACAACCGTGGTTCAGCTAAGTATTTGGCGGCATTTTGTAGCCTGGTCCCGAAGAGATCCGGATGGCAACGGTGCATAGTGGCCAAGCACATCATCCAAGAACAATTTAAAAACCATGTACCAACAGTCATCCGCGTCCATATGGAGAAAAGACTACTTTCGAACACAGTATTCGTGGTAAGTCAAGAGACTTCAGAGCGCTAGTCTCGTGGCAGAGGAGAGTCTGAGCCTTCAAGCAAGTATGTTTCAATCGTCGCCTGAAATGCCGGCATGCTTTCCTTTAGTTCGTCTGTGTCTTGAGGATTCGTTCTCAGGTGTTTAATATTTCCCGCACTGAGGGGCATTCCGTGACGGAGTCGCGCTCGGATAAGTTGTAGGCGATGTTGATTGTCTTGGGGTGCTCGTGTTCTGATGGATTGCTTGGAAGACGTAATTGTCTGTATTCTCGCGCGGACTTGTGGCGGGAGGGGGGAATTGATGGGTTGTCTACGAAGCGGCGTTAGTCGAAGGAGGTCAACGGGAATTAGCACCTACAGTTGGCTTCCCGTCCATTCGTACCACTGAACCGGTATCTCATCAGCGGTATGCGGACCATTATCAACAAGAAAATAGCAACGGCGGTTGTCGTAACCGAAAAGGGCACCGTAGGTAAACCATCGATCCTGTTGGGGGTCAAAGTCGCGGTTCCATACTTCCTGGCAGATCTTGTTTTTCAACACGTTGCACTTATCATTGTAGCTGTCGCCTTGGACCAGATGCGTTTTCGAGCGGACAAGCACACGGGTGATTGTTGGCTCGATGGCCATTGCTGGGTGATGCGAGCAAGCAGGGGATCAAAGGTTGGATTATGAGGGTAAGGAATTGGGCCAGGTGCATGTGACCACTGGGAGGGATCTGCCGCTAAGGAAATGCATGACGGGGCTTACATAGCGCAGAGGCCTTTAACGATTCATCGAGAATTCAACTGCGGGGAGGCGATCATATGAGCGAATCGAGGTTCGGTGATATGTTTAGTACCACGAATGGCGACACAGGCCATCCACTATATCTACGACAACAGCTTGTCAAAATAGACTTTCTTCACTCTAGCGGATGGAATAGAGGATAGCCAATTTCAATGTGGACCCAAACTACTGTCTTTTGCTGCAGATCGTCCCTGCGGTCCTCTCTCAACGTATCAGTGATCACTTCACATCTCTGATGTTTAAATCTCCGTACCTCATGGCACTAAGTAGGTCGGTCGCTACCACACTTCGGCGGCGAGGCACCTGTATTGCACGCCATCGCTGCGCTTTTTTTCTTACACCTGGCGGTTCTCACCTCATGACATACGTCGCTCACCGCTTCAGAGTCTGTCGCCTCCTGATTGATGGCCCCCCTCTTACGGTCAAACCGTCTATACCTTCTTCTATGGGCTGACGCAAGTGCACTCAGTCCCATTCTTTGGTACATCGCCCGGTCATGTCCTCAGTCTCATGGTCTGCGTCCCCGTCGTAGTTCGCACACTGATCCGAGCCTTGTTGATTCGCTCCAGGATGCGCGTCACTCCAGTCAGCACAAGGATTATAACACTTAATGTCAAGTGAGAACATCCCCAGCGAAGCCACACTTCTTCACACATTGTGGGTGTGCGTCGTAGCCTAGCCTGATAGTATAATACATGCTGGTCAACATATGCCAAAGATCCTGGACTTTTGTAAGAAACTTACAATTTTGTATCGTTGGGAAGGAACTTCGAGTGATTCCTGAATCTGGCGCCCATCATAAGTGGTCGGAAAGGCTGGCTTTCCCAACTCGACTCAAAGCCAAGTGCTCTTCCCCGAGGCCTTGGAGGTCGCCGACGATGAGGACGAGGCTGCCGACCCCAGTACTTCGGTGTCTTCGTTCTCCGACCGCCTGGATTTTCTCGGCGAGTCCTCCGTGGCTTCGGCGAGGTGAGCTGACCCTTTTGAACCAGTCGATGATGACGCCGCCAACGTTCTCTTGTCCCAAGCAGGCGGTCGGTCAAGGGCTAAGGGTTACGAGAACTATATATATATAGGCTTCTGAGAGCCAGAGTTCAGATGTATTCCGACCCCCTACCTATCTTCTGATTGCCTGCGGACCACGTGTGGAAGACCTCCTCACTCCGCTCTAACAACGCTTTGACAGATATGTCCCGTCCAACGACCACACTACCGTGACATGCCGCCGCGCCCTTTCCTTACAGCGAAGACTTGTAGTCCACCCACTGGTTCTAGCCGCGCCTCCAAGGTGCAGCCTGCTTCCAAGATAGGCGTCGCCCCCGAGGCCAGCTCGCTGGAAGCGTCCCGCCCCTCCCGTGGTCTCCGGCACCCCCGCGAAAAAGGCTCGCCACACTCCGCAGAAGGTTATGCGCAGCATCAAACCAGCTGGCCGATCCGCACAGGGCGGCCGGAACTCGGGCGGCCAACCGGCGATATCGCCCCAGAGTTCAGTGATTGGTGGCTTTGCCAGTAACAGCGACCAGGGTCAGGATGAACTAGCCGGCAGTGATTCCCCTGTGGTGTTGGAGGAGGGTCAAGAATTGGTGAGGCGCGCTGTGTAGCGGGTGAGGCGCGCAAGGAGGTCTCGTGCTCTCCCTGGCCTGCGGCGGTGGCAGACTAATTCGGGCTGCGTATTGGCTCCCCTGAGTAGCGCTTGGCGGCCATTTGCGACGAAAAACCGACGGAGGTGGTCGTTCTGGCTATGGAGAAGGGAAAACCGTGTGATAGCTACCTTTTCATCACCTGGCGCTGGAGTACGGCTGAGGCGCGAGCAAGCTAATGGTTTGTGGGACTGATTCGCCCATCATACTGATGTATGTTGGATGTGTTTGGCGATGTTGCAAGTTCAAGTCACTGCAATATAGGCATATCAGATCGGTGTGAAGAAAGCTTCTTCAAAATTTATCCCCTTCGCGGCATTAGAGTTTACGCATCCGAAAAATCACATCTACGTATGGGGTCACCCAACTTTCGCCACTAGCTCATCCCTGGCGGGGATTCCCCTTCCCGAAAAGTGGTCAAATTCGGCAGTGGTCGTGCGAGGATTCTTCTCAAACTTGACAGCCTTGTAATCATACAGCACCATCGTCCCGTTTGTCAGCTGCACGTCGAGGGCGTACACAAACTCAAATGTCCACGCGTTCCAGTTACCTTGAATTCCGGCGACCGTGAAGCGAAGGACCTCGTTGCCCTTCAGAGTGTTTTGGTACTTGGCTCGGTACCTCTTTGTCTGGCACAGGTCGGTCGAGGCCTCGGTCACGTCGGTGATGCTGCGCATGCGCTGGTCGCCGCACGAAGCGCGTCCAACGTAGACGCCCGACTGGTCGCAGACGAATCCGTCAATGGTGTTCAGTGACGTCTCGAGCTGCACCCAGTCCCAGGGGCCGTGCGAAGCAGGGACCTCAATGTCGGCCGAGAACAGGGTTGTGCCGTCGTACGGGATCATAGACAGGCGCTCGTAGACCTCTGTACGGTCAACGGCCGTGTGGTAGATTGTCGACTGCAAGACGGCGCCGCCCGCGACGGGAAACTCGACGACGTACGTGCCAGGCTTCATAGCCCTTGCAAAGTCAGGGTCGAAACGGCACATGACGTAAAAGTCGCCGCGCATGTTCTTGTGCCATGTTGCCCACTCGCCGGTCGGAAAGCTGTAGATGCGCGTCTCTTTGTTAAAGGTTGTCCGACCGAGAGAGCTCCCCGAGGTCGAGAGGGTGGCTCCGTCGGCCACATCGACAATCTCCTCTGGGATGGCAAACTGCACGACCGAGTTTGCGGGCACAGGACGGGGAATATCGATCAGGATGTGAAGTTCCATCCAGACTGAAGCATCTGCTAGCATGGGCGAAGGGTCTTGATGACGCTGAAGGCGAAGGGATGAGACGACGCCCTCGAGTCCGGTGGGTTCGGCAGCCACGTCAAGTGTTGTCGTGCTGCCGGGCACTGATGTCGCGTCTTCGGTAACGGTGGATGACGGCGCGCTCGTAGTGGCAGAGGATACGACGGCCTCGGTTGTAGACGTCACATCGGCTGTGGTGGCCGAAGGTGCCTGCGAAGAGGGCACGGCAGCGGTAGAAGCTGCATCCAGGGTTGTCGTGGTCGAGCCAGATTCCGGAACGGGATCATCACCAAGCTGGACCGAGAAGGAGTCTGATAGGTACAATTGCCAGTCCTTAGGGTCCGAGGCATCGCCAAAGATACGCAAGGCACGTGATAAGATACGGTAGCGACCAGAAGGAATGGCCGTGCCGTTGGCGAGACTTCGGAACGTGACGAATGAACCTTGGGAGAAACGGACAACCTCCCGCATGGGGAAATCCATGGGGCTCCAACCGATAACAGGCTGCTGACGGATGGGCCCGTACCAGGCATCCGACCCGACAGCGGCGACAGGCGGGTAGACAAACTGGTCTGTTGTGTAGTCTTCTCCGACAATGTCGATGGAGAACTCGTACGTGCCGTAACGAAAGGCGAACCAGATCTCAGGCGATCCCCCCTCAGCAGCCCGGTACGGCTTACCAGTGTAGTCTACCGGGTGTAGCTCGCCAGTGTTTTGATCATAATAGTAGACTTCTGCGCCGTGATGGAGGGCGCCCCATTCATAGGTCGATGCCTCGACGCCCAGGTAGGGAATCGAGATTGCTTGGTCGTTGGATCCTTGAAGAACAATCTTGCCAGACCACAAGGCACCACTATCTTTGGAATCATCCGGGGAAGCAAACGTAACTTCGAACTCCTGAGTGGCACCAGCGGGTACAGTAACGAGTTGGGGAGCATCCACAGAGACGGCGGCATCGGTAAGGGGAGGATAGTACGTGTTCACGTACCAAAGGACGTTCCTTGAAGACACGGTCGAAGAGGGCACGTGCGTGATGTTGAAAACTACCTCTTCGTTACCGTTGTTTTGAACGCGGATCGTGTGAGTGTTAACACGATTGTCGGTATCGTTGAGGTGCAGCGCCGGTTCTGAGAGCAGCACAACCTCGTGGTTGAAAACACTGGCAACGTTGATGAGCCCAGCGCCCTGCTGGGCCACTGGTCCATTCTGAGCAAGGACCTTTTTGTCAGAGTCAGAGTATGCTGGCAGAGTCTGCGATGTTGAAACGAGGCGGCGAATGAACTCGTCCTTGTCCTTCTTAGCGTGGGCATAGTAGAGCGCGGCCACGCCGGCGACGTAGGGGGTGGAAAAGGATGTGCCCGAGGACACGGCAAACCTGCCATCGGGGAAAGCACCATAAACGAAACCTCCAGGAGCCGAGATCAGAGGAGCCAAGTCATTCTCGTATGAGGGGCCCCAGGACGAAAATTCCGAGACGTGTCCGGCGCTGGGGATCTCGGTATCATCGCCCGAGATAGGGTCGGCATCAGCGTTGATAACCAACCTGAATGTGTGGCCCTCGGCAGCCTGGGCGCGCGCCCAGTCACCTACCGACGCGGCTACGATGGCGAAGAGCTTGATGTCTCCCCAAAAGTTCTCCGCAAAATCGACATCGTAATAAAAGCCCTGGTTGTACGCATCAAAAACAAGAGCGTAGTCATAGCCCCTATTAACGATAGTCCTTCCAGCCCAGCTACTAGGGCAGACACCGCGCTTGGAGAGAACAGCCGCTCCCTCGTTTGCGAAGCTCTGGATGTTACACGAGTCGCCAGTGTCGAGCGTGAGCTCAGCGTCTAGCGTCTCGTTATACTTGAAGCCAGTAGGTGTCACATAGGAGATGTTGAGGGACTCGCCGCTCGATGAGACAATGCGGGCAGGCCAGGCAAGTGTTTGGTCAGCTTCGACTGAGCCGACTGACACAACACCTTGACCAACAGCGGGAGAGCTGGCAAAGCAAGGGCCCTTCTGGCCGTCGTTGCCAGCAGCGGTGATGACGAGTCTGTCTTGAGCCACCTCGCTGGCGACGCGTGCCGTCACAGCATAGCGGTAGCCGGTTTTACTGCCCACTGACATGGAGATAATGTCACAGTTGTCTGCGTCGGCTGCGAGCAGACCCTTGAGAACAAGGTCGGTACTCGTAGTGGTGTCGCATCCAAAGATCTTGTACATGTATATCTCGGCCCCAGGGGCGACGCCGTGATAATCTTTATTGTTGGCGACGATGACGGAGGAGACAAAGGTGCCGTGACCAGTACAGTCCTCGAGACTATCGGAACCATCGAAGAGGTTCTTGCCGCCAGCGATGTTGTCCTTGAGCGCTGGGTGATTGACGTCAATGCCGCTGTCGATGACACAGACTCGCTGCCCAGCGCCAGTGAAGTCGCGGTCGTGCACCTCCTTGGCGTGGGTAAAAGTGTGAGGATTCCACTCAGGAGAGCCGCTCGTCGTCTCAAAGGAGACGTTGAGAGAGATGTGGTGCACAGGCCAGACATTGGCGACGCCGGGGATGTTCTTGATGTCGTCGATGATGGTGGTGTCGTTCTCGAGAGAGACCTCAACCGTGCCACCGTCGAAACGGTTCGAGAGGCCGGAGAAGTCTTCCTTGACCGTGGCGTCGTAGCCAAGTGAGTTGATATCTTGTACAACGGCTTCGACCCCAGACTCGTCACGGGTGCGAGCACGGCGGCCCTGGCCGCCTGGCTGGAGCTCGATGATGTAACGGCCAGGAACGACGCCGCTATCTTCGGTGGAGAGAGCCTTTCTGCCGTTGACGAAGCCAGTATCCTGTGCAGAGGAAGGGCAGGTAGCGGCGGCGAACAAGGCCGCCCGGATGGCGGTGCGCCAGCGAGCCATGACTTGACTGAGGCAGCAGCTGGTGGTTTAGGTGAGCCTGTGTGCCGTGGAATACGGGAGCACCAGTAAATGGGCTTTTGGAGGTTCGCTAGGCGATGCGAAGTAGGCTTGAACGACATGCTACTCCCCTTGTTCTCATGGTTCTCATGGGCTCTATTTATACATGTGAATGATCTGTCCCTCACCAACAGGATTGTCGGACCGCCGAGACCAGAATGCAGCCGAGGGACCCGTGAGCCGATGAGAGCGAGCATACTTCACGATGCTGCGGGATTTCGGGGAACAAGGGGGCCTGTTGTGCCTTGCAGGTAGCCACGCAGCTGGACTTGCAGACGGAGACCCGCGCACCCAGTCATGATACGAGACGGAGAAACCGAACTGATGCGATCTTATCAGATCAACTCTTTCTGCTCTAAGTGGAGCGCCATGTGTGGTGCTACCCCAGACTACCCTGACCCATGCGTGGCAAGCGCTGAGACCGTTAGACAATATGAGCCGACTCATTCAATTAGCCTCCAGCTAGCTCAGGTCCAGAAGGAATAGTTACTTGTCTGACTCCCGCCACACGGGTCGTCAAGTCTTGGCCCTGCGAGGGCCCCTGTTTCGGGGGCCACGCGAGGCATTGACGAGCTCCGGGCTAGTTATATCCGAGCTGTTCGCCGACGTCGGCAGTGTAGTCTAGGTTCGCGAAACACAGTACCTACTTGTCTCGGTAAGCTGATTGTGTGATCATGCGGACTCTCGACCGATGACAGGGATGAGGCATGGGCAGACTTACTATGTACCTTCATCAACCTGGCTACGTAAGTTAAGATAAGGTAGGGTAAGTAAGTGTGCGACGAGTCAACGGTGCCCACCACTTCACGTAGGTCTGCTTGTCGTCGGCACACACGCCCAAGAAGATCAGTTGATTGTGTGCATCCTGTGCGTGTGTATGATGTGTCGATCGTGAGTCGACCGAAGATTACAGCTTCCTCTGGGCTTCTTTGACAGTGAATGTTGACGGGAAAGATTCAAGAAACGGGCAACGCCAGGATCCTGGCTGCGGCTCATTTGTGATGAAGTCAGATGATCAGCTGTCCTACGTGGAGTCGTGGCCTCGGAACCCCATGCGGGTGACTGTGCAAGCTCTACTCGTGGGTTCGTGGACCCTGTTCTCCTGAGCAGGGCACTCCGTGTGGGTCGTGCATGGCGGTAAAGTGCCTAACGTCGCTCAGAGTTCGATCCTGCATTCCAAGATCCGATGTTAGGTGTTTGCAGTGCGCCGAAGGTCCCAGAACGATTGTTCCGAGGTACATAAAAAAAAACGTCAGAGTTCAGACGTGCGACACCTCAGATATCAATCCAAGCATAGATGCAAGACACATCGACTTGAAGCTTCACATGGCCCGTACCTTGCGGGTTTTGATGCTTGGAGGCAAACATCCACAACCGGATTCAGCATGTTATGCTTCTGCCACGGCACACACTCCTCCGGCCGGTCACTGGCTACCTCATTACCACTGATAATCCTATCCTGTTGAACTGCAACCAAAGCGTCCAAAGCTTCTAGGCTAGGAACATGACCATGCTTCAGGTTGAAGACACTGACGTGCCGCCAGGTGAAACAAAGCCAACTATCCCAACTCGACTACAAGGGTCAAGTGAAAAGAGCAAAAGAAGAAAGCCAAGGCTCGAGTGATGCTCCGTGCCGATTCTGCTGGATAGACATACCCGACACAAAGTCCGGCTGCAGATCAACAACGTTGTTTTTCATTTCTCCGCAGTGCCGCTTCAAATATCCAGCGCGGCTGCGTACCGCTTGAGAGCCTGCAGTAGTAGAACGAGCTTCCTCCACGTTCTTCCTGACCCCTTCGCCGCTAAGCATTCGAGTTTGATCACAAACCTCAAATCGAGCGTTCTAGTCTAAGTTCTCACGCGGTTTAGAATTTCAATCCTTAGGCTCCATTGGTTGCCGTCGTTCCTGAGCACACGTTGAACTATGGATGGTGAAGAAGCCCTGGTCTCTGCAGAATATTGTTGCGGCTCCCCATGTCAAGAAACTGCTTGAGCAGCCGCAGCATGGACGTGCGGGGTTCGCCATGTTTGAGTGTTGCTGATTTGAATATCGTTTGCCGCACCGCAGGTTGAACCCTCAACCCCTTTTAACATGTCAAATTCCCTGAAATAATTACACAGAACAAGATCAAGCAGCAACCAATTTGCGTTAATTATCAAAACATCTCATGTCACATTCCATGGCTCAACCCATGATGGTCGATACTTTAGGACTGAGGTGCCGCCATGTGACCTGCGCGACCAGCCTGGCAGCCCTAGGCGGCCCTGAAGCTCACTAACGATCTCCCGCAGCGTGTGAACCCCTGAACGAGTTCAAGCCTGGCCGCACAGGGCGTGGTCATTGGGCGGCACTCATGTCGCGTCATTTATCCACAATTGATTGTCTGCACCGTCGCCGGCGCGCGCAGCAGCAAGTACGTTACAGGACTTGAGCTGACTATGGGTCGTGAAGCTGGTAGGTCGTAGGGCGATGGGCATGCTAGGTGTCTGCTGAACACTCTGATGACAACAGGTTCCACCTATCTAGAACAAAGTCTTCGCGAAGACATTCGTCCGGCTTATTCAATCGCCAGCACTGGTTTGGTCAGGGTCTTGGTGTTGGAGGGTAACAAGTGCGGAAAAGGGGCATGTTTTCTGTGCCTTAGCTACTAGGTACAGTGCCATATCCGAAGGTACAGGGCAGAAGGGCGCCTGGAACTCACCCATCTGTGGGAGCACACGAACCACCTGGCACAGGTGAATGCTGGGGCACTCCGCCGGCCCAGGCCAGCATCAGCTTACACCGACCAACACCTGGAACCTGCTAAAAAGGTCTTCTAGCGCCGGCTTTCGGCGCCCCATCATCGGCAACAAAGACGAAATGCCGAGCGCCGTCTGATCTCTGGTCCGAGTACAGCATCGATGACTCCTGCGAAAATCAACGCAAGCTCCAAAGCTTCTTCCCCCAACACTCTTCAGGAGCACTGAATGTGGCATGTCGACAACCACAGTTCTCGCTCCGGCGCAGGTCTATGAGCTGTCGACCTTTCGACAGCCAGAGAACAACGGTAGCACCCCGCAGACGTCCCCAGGACAGGTTGAGGATGGCCAGCGGCTCGTGGCAACAGCCTACTCCCGGTTCAGCGACATCCAGAAACAGTCGGTTGCGTGGTTCGTTGCCTTCTGCGGACTTCTGGCTTCCATGTCTACGACCAGCATTCTCTCCGCCGTGCTGGAAATCATGGAAACCTTCGACACGACAGCAACTGTTATCAACATTAGCAACGCCTTGTACCTCGTCGTCATCGGGCTGTCCAGCTGCTTTTGGGGCCCATTGGCTGACACGTTCGGCCGCAAACCAGTGGGGAAGCGTCGAGTGCATGAGTGCAGGTATGTTCGCTGACGTTGATGTGTTCGCCAGGTCTACACCGTGAGCACGACAATGTTCCTTCTGGCATCCATTGGTACAGCGCTTTCGCCGACCCTGGTTGCTTTCTTTGTTTTTCGAGCGTTGACTGCCGTTCAAGTCAGCACATTCCTCATCCTAGGTTCAAGCTGCATTTCGGACATTTACCACCCTGTCAGCTATTCGTTGTCCCATTTTGGGCTCTCAGTGCTAACACCCCCTTCAGATCGAGCGCGCGGCTGCCATGGGTTGGTTCCTTCGAGGCACACTTTTTGGTCCGGCCTTTGGTCCGATCATCTCCGGCATCATCGTCACCTACACGTCCTGGAGAATCATCTTCTGGGTGCAGGCGTCTCTGACCGGTCTAGCGTCCTTCCTCTGCTTCTTTGTCATGAAAGAAACATTGCAGACGACTCCACGACTCAGGGAACTGCGAGGTCAGGGAGTGCATGCTGCGGCTAAGACATTGTGGAAGTCGTTGAACCCAATTCTCGTTTTCCGACTGCTGAGCGAGAAGAACTTGCTCTGCGTGGTAAGTGACCCTGAACTCCGCCAAACAGAGGTTGAAGTTTGACTTACGATTTCACAGAGCCTTGCTTCGGCATCCATGGCGTTCAACATGTATTCCCTCTTGACGCCTATCCGTTACATCTTGAACCCTAGGCTGGGTCTGACCACGCCTCTGCAATCTGGCCTTCTCTATCTCGCACCAGGCGGGGGCTACCTCCTTGGTAGCCTCGTCGGCGGCCGTCTCTCCGATCATATCGTAAAGTTTTGGATGAAACGGCGTGGTTTCCGCCTTTGGGAGGATAGACTCCGTGGAAGCGTCATCTTGCTCGGCCTTGCTCTGCCTGGTTCGACATTGCTCTACGGCTGGACGGTCGATCGCGGTTTTGGAGGCATCGGCTTGCCAGTAGTGTGTATGTTCGTCCAAGGCATCAGCCAGACGAGTGCCTTTCCAAGCCTCAACACCTACATCATGGATGTCATGCAGCAAAATAGCGGCAAGGCGTCAGGTAAGGCGTGGATCTCCCCTCATCCATACCGATCAAGTCATCGCTAACAACTCCCAGCCAGTCATTACTTTGTCCGGTATGCTCTCTCAGCTGCTGCCACGGCAAGCTGCATTCCCATGATTGACGCAATCGGTATTGGATGGACGGCTACTATTTCATCTTTCATGGTGCTCGCCGGGTCTGGACTTGTACTGCTGACCATTCACTCCGGCGGTTCGTGGCGAGGAAACCAGGAACGACAAGCCTGACGTGGCCGGGGTCATTCGCTCCTTGGCCAGAACTCCTAGACAGCGGTGTCAGATGACAATGATTGGACAGTATCCAGGCAGCCACTCCCTACAGAGGTAGTGGACATAAGGGGCTCCTCCTGATGTGTATCGTTTCTCTGAGCATTCCCAACATCCACCATCATTCATCAATATGGACTCCAAAGTCCAGCCCTTTTCGCCTCGCAAGACGCGATCGCAGTCGAGACGGGTCACTTCCCAAGGTCAAGAATCGAGTGCGGCATCGGCCATCACGTCTGCTATAACCAATCGACCTGATGCGAGTCTAGGCGTCCATGACACCATCAGACTTTTGCCAGAGAAGTTGAGCGTCATCATCACTCGACTCAGGAGTGCGGACCACGGAATCCTCCTGAAGAAGCACCTTTGGCTCCGCGAATATAGTGCATCTGGCGTAGCAGGTGCTATTGCAAGAGGGCTGCGTGCCGACGCAACGCTCGTGTTTGGCCAGGAGGAAGCTGGAACCGCCATCTGCGTCGAATCTTCGGGTATTCTCCTGACGTGTGCCCATTGCGTCGCTGAGATGGAGGAAGAGCTGGATCTCGAGAGCAGTCATTGGCTTGTATTTGAATCGGGCCGGATTATTGAGGCCAAGTGCGTTGCTTGGGATGGCCGTCGAGACCTTGACTTGCTCAAGGTAGTAGCCGCACAGGGTACACTAGACCCTCAAGGCTCGGGGGGTCCAAAGCCATCCAGCCAAGGCCGTTTCAATTTTCCCTGTGCGCTGCCCGACACATCCTCCCCTCTGCTGAACGATGTTCTGGTCTGTGTCGGCCATCCAGGGAGCGAGGATCTCGAGTCTGACCAGCCAGGCGTGGCTACAGGGTACGATGTGCTGGTGATGAGCGAAGGTCGCTTCAGGGGGTACGCGGAAGGTCAGGATCTCCAGGACAATGAGGATATCGGAGCCCTCCAGCATGACTGCTGGACGTACTGGGGCCACAGCGGCGCTCCTCTTTTTCGAAAACGGTCAAAGCTTCTCGTTGGATTGCATTCGAGCTGGGGGGATGAGACGGGTAGGCGGAGGGGTGTGCCCATCGAGGCCATCTCTGAGTTTCTTGTAGTGCATAGTCAGCACATGAGTCGTAGATGACTGAACCGGTACTTTTTACCAGCTCAAGTATAGAAAAGCCCGCGTAGCTATGGTTTTGCTCGTGTACTGCGTGGATGGCGTGAAATGGGTTTGCATGGTGTCAAGATTGTGTCTCCATCGGTAGGCAGGCCTTTCTCAAGGGACAGCATCAAGCACTAGAGGAAGGCACAACAACCCGATCCTTCCCTCAGATGTCTGCACAAGGAGACCTCTTTGGAGAAATTCCCGTGCCCCTACTAGGTACCTTATTCACATCAAAGAAAACCACAGGGAACAGTAAATACAAGCTGCACTCCGCATCACTATTCAACTACATGCCCTGCCCCACGGCCTGCCGCCTGCACACCAACTTGACGACTAAGCGACGACATCATCGTGAACCTCAATGAGGGCATTTTCGACGACTAAGCAAGATATCCGTAAACCAGGCAACGGTCGAGAACGCATAAATATCTTCGTGTCTTCCTCTGAAAACTCTGATCCCGTAAGTCTCGATCTCCTTCACGTATGAGCCATCTCCATCTTCGTAGGAAACGCCATTCAGCCGATCAAACACCCTCAGCAAACTCGTCAGATTGTGATCACAATGGCTAATCCTAAGCGTTGGGTCTTCTGCAGCATCGCCACTGTTGCGGGTGTGCTGGTCATCATATCCACCTCCTTCCTCGTTGTTCTCAACAACGGCAGTACCACCAGAGCCACCATGGCCACCAGCATCACCACTACCTCCGACACCAAGATATACGGCTACTACCCTCCCCCCACCACTGGCGCCGCCGCCCAGGACGACGAGGGCTATAGCAAGACCTACACCCTTCACGAGCTCATCTACACCGGCACCGCCAAGGAGAGAATCCTCCGTGGCTTCCTCTTCGGAAGCCTGCTGGGCCTGCTCCTCGCCCTCTGCTGCTGCTGCTGGGTCCCCTTCTTCCGCGACGGCGTCCGAGACGACAACGAAGCCGGAAATACACCCCTCCCGGGCAACCGTCGTGCCCGTCGCGCCGCTGCCGCCGCCACCCGCCGCGCCAATCAGCGCACCAACAGTCGCCAGCCCCGCGAGGGCCCCGACGGCATTGAGCTCGCCAACATGGCCGGTCATGCTCGCCGTGGCAACAGCGCCAACCAGGCCGTCATGTCTGGCGCTCTCCCCGCCGACCCCGAGGCCGGCGTTGCTGGCCCTTCCACCAGCAGCCTGGGACGCAGCCGCGCTGCCCTGGCCCGCGCTATGCGCAACAACCGCCGCACTGACTAAGGGGGGGAATCTGGGAGTATCACCATGAAGGATGATTCGAAATGGACAAGGAAATAGCTTCAAACGACTCGGAGTTTTGGGAGTTGAAATTGTTTTCAGAAAACACCAGTAGTCAATATCAAGTCCTTTTGCTGCCTGTAGGCTCACCAAAGCCTCCGTTCCTTGACCTTTGCTGCATATGACTGTTCTTCGGAACAAACTTTCATGCAAGAGTATTCTTGATGCCACTTAGCATCTCTTGCTGTTCATGGCCTCGTTGTCCGGTACCAGCCGTCCGGTTCGATATTCTTGCCTCCGCCTTGTGACAGTCGAAGATCCGTTACATGACAGCTTTCATCTTACCAAGGGTTCCTTTGGCAGCTGCGTTTGTCATCTCTTTCCACTAGCATGGCAATTTCTCTTTTGAATTTTCTTGTCGTCCAGCTGGAAGAAAGGGATGGATGACCGAAATGAAGTGCCGCGAGTACAGGACCACGTCCAGGTGACGTGCCGAGACATGGCCCCATGGGGAAAGAAAAGCTGCATCCCCGAGCATGACCAATGCACTGCAAAAAGTCGAGTCATTGGCAGCAGAATGTGCCCACTCGTCGGAGTCGGAGGTACCAGATTGGATCTAGCTGGCTCGCGGGGCGATCGTCGGCACCCTACCGAAGTTCAACCATGTTGACACGGCCCGTGTCGCCATATCGAGCCACTCCGGAGCCAGCACGAGGCTCCTTCGACTCACCCCGTGGCTGCAGGTGGACGCCCTGCGAGAGCCGGACTTACATCATAGTCGCGAGGGATTCTCCGTCGATGGCAAGGGCTAAGGCGGGCCTTGGCGGGCCTTCCGCAACCCAGTGCTTAGACTCCGACGAGGTTGTGTAGCACAGGAATAGGAAGCACCATAAGAGGCGACCGATAGCCGCCTGTACTCAGTGAAAGTGTAATACGCCTACTCGTATTCATCCCCACCTCTGTCATCTGGTACACCATGACGACCACTTCATCAACCGTCGAGCTCGAGTCGGTCGACTACCAGCATGCCCTGCCACTCAAGGATGTCGGCGGCCTTGCCTCTGAGGGTCGGCGTCTGGGATCACACGAGGGACCCAGGGACGCTGACATGGGCGTGAGGGACAGCTTGCCGGCGCCCACGACATCGACGCCTGTCGTAGAGAGCTGGAAATACCCTCGCTCCAATTTGTTCCGCGTCGCAGCTACGTTCTGGAGTTTCCTCGTCTGTGGCGCCAACGATGCTGCCTACGGTGTATGTTTCTTGTTCGCCCACCTGCCATACCACAGCTAACACCCTTCGCAGGCATTGATTCCCTATGTAAGCAACAGCTGCGCCCCGAGAATGGCCAGAACAGACTGGTTGACTGACTGCCTGCCCACTAGCTCGAATCCTACTACAAGCTTGACTACATTATCGTGTCTCTCCTCTTCCTGTCGCCCTTTGTCGGATATGTCCTCTCTGCCATCTTCAACAACTGGCTGCACATCAAGTTTGGCCAGCGAGGCGTTGCAGTGCTCTGCGGCGCCTGCCATCTGGTCGCATACATCATCGTTTCCCAGCATCCGCCTTACCCTGTCCTCGTCGTCGTGTATGCCCTTGCCGGTTTCGGCAATGGCATTGGCGATGCTGCGTGGAACGCGTTCATTGGCAACCTGGCAAATGCAAACGAAACACTGGGGTTCCTGCATGCCCTGTACGGCGTCGGAGGAACCATCAGCCCCCTCATCGCAACGACAATGATCACGGAGGGTGGTCTTGAGTGGTACCACTTCTACTATGTCATGGTATGCGTCACCTCGCCCCATTCTGCAGTTCAGGCGTGATTGGGACGACAGATACTGACACGACACAGATTGGCATGAGCGTCGTCGAGCTGGTCGTCTGCACAGCTGCCTTCTGGAAGAACACGGCAGCCAGCTACCACGAGACGACACAGACGAACAACGACGACAACACGGGGCTGCGCGCGGCCCTCTTCTCGCGGCCCTACGCACGCGTGACCTGGATCTGCGCCGCCTTCCTCCTCGCCTACGTCGGCGTCGAGGTCTCGCTCGGCGGCTGGATCGTCCAGTTCATGATCCGCGTGCGCAACGCCGACCGCTTTCCCGCCGGCATGACGTCCGTCGGCTTCTGGCTGGGCCTGACCGTCGGCCGCGTCGTGCTCGGCTTCGTGACGCCGCGGCTGGGCGTCAAGGTCGCCGTTGCCGTCTACCTGCCCGCGACCATGGCGCTCGAGCTCGTCTTCTGGCTCGTGCCGCAGTTTTACGTCTCGGCCGTCGCCATCGCGCTGCAGGGTTTCTTCCTGGGCCCGCTGTTCCCTGCCGTCATTGTCGCGGCGACGAAGCTGCTGCCGAGACACCTGCATGTGAGCACCATTGGATTTGCGGCGGCCTTTGGAGGCAGCGGTGCCGCCGTGCTGCCGTTTGCTGTTGGTGCCATTGCGCAGGCCAAGGGCGTCCAGGTGTTGCAGCCGATTGTTCTGGCCATGCTGGTGGTGCTGTTGGGGCTCTGGTTCTGCCTGCCCAGGTTTGGGTTAGCAAAGAGGGATTAGTACCTGCCCAGCAACGAGGGATTAGATGGTGGTTGTCATTATTTTTTCGCAAAACATCGGGTATAATCAAGCAGGTAGATTGAAATGCTTCATTCAATGGCGATCACTGTTGGACATTGTATTCACTGTTATGTTGCCTGACTGTGCGTGGTTGCTTGTGAAAGGTGAATGGATTGTAGGCTGAAAGAGGAAGGAAAGAGCAGACAGAAAAGCGGGTCTGCTGCAATGCCATTTCTCACAATCAAAAGGCCCGTGCACATCCATCACGGGACTTCATTTTTCCGATATCACGCACGGACCAAGTTCTTCCAACGCTAGCAGACCAAAATTTTGAGCCACGATGGATCCACAGCCCGAATCTATCACCTTCGACGCGGCCTGCCTCCTTGCTTGGAAGAACAAGTTCCGACATCACGATACCACCATCTACACCCGCCTCTTCGGACTCCACCCCTATCTGCGTCTCAACAAGACCGAAGTTGCCAGCGACCTCCTTCCCCGAATCCACAGAAACACCCCCTACACCGTCAAAATGGTCCAGCTTGTCGAGGTCGAGGACGAGCACTTCCAGGGCAACCCCAACGTCATCCAGGACGACGATGCCGACTTCACCGACACTGGTACGTCCTGTCATCCATGGCCTCATGGACTTCATCGAGTGGTCTCTGGACGAGCTTCATTGAGCTTCAAATAAGCTCATCGACCCCGGCTCCCAGCTCGATGACGTGACGTCTGATGCTTCGGCCATCACCCCTATCATCCTTCTCATCACTAACCACGTATCCCTCTTCCCAGACTCTGAGATCTCCGCCGACAGCGATTTTGATCCCTCCGAAGAGACCCTCGCCGAGCGCCTCGCCGCCCTGAAGGACATCATCCCGCCGACAACCCGCGGCTGGATCGGCTCCCAGGTCAACACGGGCGCGAGCATCGTCCAGAACACATGGTACTACGGCTCGCGCACCCTCTGGCTTGTCTGCGCCACGGCGCTCATGATCGGTGTCCCCCTCGCTACGTGCTGGGCCGAAGACCAGCAGATTGAGGGCATGGAGCGCGAGTACCGCATGCGCGAGATGGGCGGCGAGCTGCTGACCGCCGGCGAGGGCCAGGAGGGCAGCACCGCCGACATGCTGGGCGAGTCCCTGGGTGCTGGCAAGGCCGAGGCCCGCCCGTCGCTGTAAACGTATTCACCTCTCGCATCCAATCGAAGGACGGACAGCCGGACGAAGGGGAGGAAGAAAAGTGGACACGATATTTTGCTGTTCTTGTACATTACGCGCCCCAGCCTGCTTTAACGATCGGAAAGCAATCGGGAAGTGCCCTCGGGACATTCACGGTCGACTGAATTTGCGAGGCAAGCGAAGGAAGAACGCACGGGAAGGAACGCGCATGGCCAAGGGACGGGCTGTTGCGTTCGTGTATTATTTTTGAGGGAGGAGAAGAGGAAGGGCGATGATGGCATGGGATGCTCTCAGCTCACGGAACTACGGTTCCCCTGTACTTGTGATACTAGAATTTGGAGTCACAGAGATGGCTACCAATTGATGACATTGACAAACCTGTGGCTGATCGCTGTGACATGAAACTCTACGTGATATCGCTTTCGCGGTTGATGCCGGAGCAACGCCCATCGCCCAGAGCGGAGCCCGCCGAGGGGCCCAAATCTCTCATGCCGCGAAACTCACGGCGCTTCATAGGAGGAGCACCACCTTGTACCACAATACGGCGCCTTCACACACGATATTCCCTTCTCTTAACAGACGAATTAGTTTGAAAGAGAGCCAGATCCCGCCATGGATTTCAAGGCCCTCCCTAAGATCGAGGTATGTTTTCCTCAGTTGAGCCTCACCTCACTGCAGTGATGTACACAGTCTCCGACTACAACGCTCACTGGTCATGACGCCGCACGCAACTCATGATACTTCCATCTTGCGTCAAATGAAGACTAACGGTCCAGCTCCACGCTCACCTCACCGGCAGTGTCTCGCGCCAGACCCTCCACGACATCTGGACCACCAAGCACGCCGCCGGCACCACGACCCTCGACGACCCCTCGATCGTGATGCCTGCCGGGAAACATGACTACAACCTCCAGACGTGAGCCCCCTCCACTTATGCTCATCTTCATTCTCGCCTTTTCCTTTGGCCCCAGCACCCAGCGCTAACGCGCGCGCAGCTTCTTCCCCCTCTTCTCCTCATACATCTACGGCCTCCTCCCCGACGCCGCCTCCCTGACGCGCGCCACGCGCTCCGTCCTCGACGACTTCGCCGCAGACGGCGTCCTCTACCTCGAGCTCCGCACCACGCCGCGCCGCACAGCCGAGATGACCAAGGAAGTCTACGTCCGCACCGTCGTGGCCGCCATCCAAGCATGGGAAGCCGAGCAGACGACGACCCCCACGCCAGGCCGCAGCGCCCCGCGCATGCGCACGCGCCTCATCCTCAGCGTCGACCGCCGCGACGCACTGCCCGAGGCGCACGAGGTTCTCCGCATCGCCGCCCTCCTGCGTCGCAAGAGCGCCGTGATCGTCGGCGTCGACCTCTGCGGCGACCCGGCGAAGCGCACGCCGTCGGACCCGCGCGGCTCCGTTGCTGTATTCACGGATGTGTTCCGTGAGGCCAAGGCCCAGGGGTTCGGTGTGACGGTGCACTTTGCCGAGGCCGAGGTGTCGGGGACGGAGGAGGAGCTCGGGGTGCTGCTTGGGTGGCAGCCGGATCGGCTCGGGCACGTCATCTGTCTGAGTCCTGCTGTCAAGGAGGCTGTCAAGAGGCGGGGCCGCGAGGGGGGCATCGGGCTGGAGCTGTGCCTGAGCTGTAATGTGCAGGCCAAGATGGTCGAAGGCGGCTTCGGGGCCCATCATTTTGGAGAGTGGTGGGAGACTGAGGGGTGTCATGTTTCGCTCGGCGTAAGTCAGAGTTTGTCCGAATGTTGAGGCGAAGCAGTACTGACCAGGACAACAGACGGACGATGTCGGTGTGTTTGGTAGCCCCCTCTCAAACGAGTACAGGCTCGCTGCAGAGCACTTCAGCCTTTCGAACGCCCAGGTCTGCGAGTTGGCGCTGCAGCCCATACCGAGCATCTTTGGCGGAGAGGCGATCCAGGCGCAGTTACGGGAGGCCATGTGGAAGCCAGAGGATCACATGTGAGAGGCGTTTATTGGTCATGGGTATTTCGTCAAGATTTACTATCCAGCTTCACAATCTGGCGGGGTATCTACTACAAGTACATCTAAAATCAAGCCTCCCACCCGCTATTTCTACACGTCCCCAACCAAACGCTTTGTTCATGATCTATTCGTCATCCGGATCTCCCGTCCTTCATCGTATCTCAGTCTTGATATGTTGCCAAGACACAGTAAACATTACTTGAAACGTGCGTGCTTTCTCGCCCTTTGTCTTACAAAAGATGCAGGGATATGACCCCCAACTGCGATGGCTACAGCCTGCGTCCAACGTATTGTCAAGGACGTAGAAGAGCTCGGCTCCAAGCTGAGCAAAATCGCCACCAGGACTTGTCTTCGTGTTGTCGTTCTCGGGTTGCGCTGAAGGCTGACCATCGTTGCTTTTGTTATTATTGTTGTTACCATTGCCAACGCTCTGTGAGGGGGTTGGCGTTGGAATAAGTGCTTGGCTGGGTGTTGTGCTCGTGGTGAATTCGAGCGGCGAAGTGGTTGTGGAGGGCTCAGCTGGCGGCAGACTAAAGCTAGACACCGTCTCCACGGGAGGCGATGGAGTGGGCACGAGAGATGGCGTTGTGATGATGGGAACGAGCGATAGCGTCGACGTCGGCAACACCCTCCTGGTCGAGGATGTGCTCGACACTGTGTTGCCGCCGCCATTGGGACACAAGAGAGCCGGAAGGTTACCAAGCAGAGACTGCGCTAACAATGTGTCGATCGGCGCAAAGACGCCGCCACACTCGCTCTGGATATCTGCCTGCATTGCCTCGATGCCCGCCCTGCATTCCGCAGAGCAAAGAGCGCCCTGGAAAAAGTCCGACCTCCGGCATCCTCCGATCGGTGCGGTGTAAGCAAGTCTGCAGGCGATTGGTATATTTTGCGTCGTCGACAGTGGGTCGAAGCTTGTCAAGGACATTTGGGCCGACGCCATGCTGGCCATGAAAAGCGCCAGAGCGGCGAATCGTGATGTTTGTGACCGGGTCATGATGAGTGACCTCAGGTATGAGGCGGAATTTGATGATGTTTGAGGCTGGGATGGAGGCAACGACGTGGGGCAGACAGGTTATATCCCACGGGACTGGCGCCTAGCGGCGAGTAAACCGAATCGCGGGATGACAGGGCCCCACGGGACTGGCCAGGCGCAGCTCGCACTGCAGTCTCGAAAGAGGCAAGAACTGAGACGCTTCGCGTGTCAGGAGGGACGGTAATGACGAAGCGATCCGCTGTGGACGAACGGTGGCCCGTGTGCACAGCTGGGAGTATAGAGGGGCGAGTAGGACTGCGGCCGAGGATGCAGATGAGGATGATGCCGCGACAACGCGAACCAGTATTGAGAGCCTTGGAAATCGATAGAGTACGATTGAGGTCGGGAGATTGAGTTGTCTGAGAGACGAAGGCGTGGCAAGACTTGGTTGAGCAAAAGCGGAGGTATCCTCAAGATAAAGGGTCGCCGTTCCTGGGGATATGACGACGACAAGAGAAGATCCGCAGGGAGTGCAAGGGAGCTGGCTCTCAAGGGACGATCATATATCCTGATTGAGTTTGTGAGGGAGGCAGGGAAAGGTATCCCAGGCTGCCCGGATAAAGCAGCGTAGAAGAAACCGCCGGTAGCCCAGGTGGTCGAAGCTTGGTCGCTCAGTTTCACAACCTTGTGTGTGACGGTGCCTAGACGAGCAGCTCGGATGATGACTGGCGGAGTGTTTGGTGTCGAGGTCAATGTTCAGACGGAGGTCGAAACTCGCCGCGTGAGGCAGACGATACGTGTTGAGTGAGGCAGACGAAAAGTGAGGTACAGGAGACAGACTTCGAGGACCAGAAGGATTGCGCTGGTCAATAAAGGGCGGCTAGATATGGAAAATAAGAAGCGTCGTGAAAAAGCTAAGCGGTCGAGAAGAGGATTAGGGGGGGGGCCACCGTTAGGAATGTAGGTAGACTTTAATGGTCATCGCCAGCGAACAGGCAGCGCCCACTGAAACCAGCACCCTTCCCACATGTTGACCCGTCACCTTGCCATCGGTTGACATTCCACATGGCCTATTGTGGCACGGAGTCCAGCCCAAGCATTGGCCGTGGGTTGCAGCGCGCTGCTTGTCGCTCGTCAGGCGAATTGGGACTTCTCCTCCAGCCAAACGAAACGATGGCTGGCTGCTTTTCTTCGCGTTCAGGGGATCAGGGGGGGAAGGGGGGCGAACGAATGATCCGGCGCCCTCTGCAATTGTTTCGACTCCTGCAGATAACCCCCTGATGGGCCGAACAGGGCTCCTAGTAGCTGATCTCTGGGGTTGTTTGCCTGCATCACGGAGTAGTGGACGAGGATCTGGCTTGATCACAGCTCACGGAAAGAGAGGCAAAAAGACGAAACAAGGAAAACCAGGAGTCGAGTTTGAGACCAGGAGCCTCTGTGCGCGCTGACGGGTGCGATTGGCTGGGCATCGTTTGTCCCTTCCCTTAGCGACCCATGGCGCAAGAGGAAGGCGCTCAAACGTGGAGCCAATGGTTGAGTGCTCCTGCTGTTCCTACTGTTCCTACGGGCGCCTCTCAGCTGCAAGGCGAGAGCGAGGGGACCAGGTGCAGCTTCCCTCGTCCCTTTCCATGCTGCAGGCAGGCGCAACTACGACCTAGAACTGCCCAAAAGGCACAAGGCTGGCGGAGCGGGGAGGCAAGAAGGCAATGTCACCCTCACTGTGCGCCCCCGCAACCGGTAGCGTGGACAATAGGGCAACATTCCATTGCCGCGCATTCCAGCGTCGTCGTGCTTCCGTGTCGCCGGATCATTAGGATCACTAGCCATTGTCTTGCCTCGGCACCTTGTTGCGCACAAACCGTTTCTGAATGCGCTAGGCTGTAGGCCTCCAGTGCAGATTCTTCTGAACCCTCGACAAAGGCCTACCAACGACGTTGCCGCCCGCCTTCGAGCGGCCACCATGTCGGCCACCCTGTCATCGTGAGCCCAGGTCTAGCGTCGAGACATCGGCACGCGATCAGCCTCCTCTCCATGCTGGAGTGGACCCTGATCCAACGGCGTGGGGTCCAGAAGCTTTCTATAGCTTGTACCTCCTCCCTTCAAGCGCTCTTCCTCGCGGTGTGTCAGCACGCACTGACTGCCTATGATGCTTCTCCAGCGGTTGTTCTGTTCACTCAAGAACACGAACAGGACGACTCTGGTCTTGCTGACAGAACCACGAGGCACGATGCTGGGCCCAGACGTGCAGGAATCCTGCACCGTCACAATCCTTTGCCTGATATCCTTTCGCCATGAATCTAACCACATTGATCTTGAGAGAAGACCATGGAGATCTTTTGACGTCGTTCGAACCATACTCAACCTAGTACCAATGACTGCAACAGGACAATGACGGCTTCGCCTCACCTGACAGGGGCCGGGATCCTACAGGACTATTTTCGGAACATCGTCAGCCTCCAGAGCGACCCTTAAGGCCGCACTGCCCATTGTTGTGATCTTGAAGATGTCAGAAGACACTTCCTGTGAAAGTCACAGACAACCAGCGGCCGCTTCTGTTCACCGTGTTCAGTATGTGGCGAGACTCCGTGTTGGCCGGCGGCGGAGTACGCGGCCCACCTGGCCGCATCCGCCGGAAACTGGTCGGCTCCAACCAGTATGAAGCGGGGAAGCTTTCGAGGCAATGCCACAACCATCTATCAACTAATGCTGAGTAGTTCAAGCTGGTAACGAGACAGTCCTCGCGGCTTCGATCCATCATGTATCCGAATGGCTCATGTCAGGCGGCTCCGGACGTCATCTTGAAGAACAGCCTAGTCTTGGGGCAGCACCACCAAGAGGGCATGCGAATGAGGCGCCACGGTACGCTGTCACCGCGACTAGTCCGCAACACGGTGAAACGAAGTGTCACGCACCACATTCAAAGCGACGCCAAGGCATCCCAAAGACCTAGCATCAGCCATGGCAGCTATTCATCTATGGATTCTGGTGATACCAGGCAGCCGCTCATGTGGAATTCGGTTTGGCTTCGGCGTATCGTACTGCTCGGCTTGTCCCTTGGATGTTGCTGCATGACCCTTGCTACAGCCTTGCTATACCATTTCTCTCTCGAGAACAACGGACTGAGTACGCAAAAGCAAGCCAACCACCTCGGATGGAAATATGGACCTACTGCATGTGAGTTTTTCCCACCCCCTGCAAATGAATAGAAGACTGATTCAACAGTGCTTGTGGTTGTCGCCGCTCTCTGGCGGCAGGTTGACCACTCAGCCAAGGTCCTTATACCCTGGCAAGAGCTGAAGTCAGGTGCTTCGTCCCCTCATAAGAGTCTCTTGTTGGACTATGTTTCTCCATTGGTTCCGACAAGCCTGTGGAGAGCTCTCAGAAATGGACATTTTGTAGTCGTCATCACCATCTTATGCTGGCTTCTTATTTTGCTCACTGTTCGTGTTCTCAAGCATCCGTTTCCTCCTACCACTGACAGCTCCCAGACCGTCTTCTCCACCGGCCTTCTGGTACTTGAGCCAACGGTGATCGTTCGAGAGGGTATTTCGATTCCTATCCAGTCAACATTCGACGCGCAGGGCTATCAGATTCCTCAGCTAGGTCCAGCGGCAGCACAACTATATTACGCCATAAACTTCCAGGGCCTTCCCTATCCCATGGGCACCTCTGCCGACACGGTGGTTCCTAAGATTGGTCTACCTGACTCCCCGGCCCAGGCAAACTACTCGGTCGTCAACCGAGGGGCCAAGGTTGGGTTTTAATGCGATCTACTGCCCATTCAGAATGCTACTCAAGTCATGCTTCCATGGTACAGCATCAACGGCATGTTCTGCACCATCGATATCGCCACCCCAGAGTGCAACATCAGCAGCGCTATTGTCGCGGCTGGCCCTGACTCGAACCACTATGTCCAAGAAAACGCGACTCAAAACTTTCAAGGCATTATGCAGGATTATACGTGCAACAACGGCGTCGAATACAGCCGTTTGCATGATATGACTACCAATTACACGGAAGAACAGGTGGTCAATGCCAGCATGCCACACCGTGTCCTCCTGACCATGGCAAATCTGCCATTTACGCCGATGAATCGTTCGCTCACACGGCCTGAGAGAATTTATATTCAGGATTTCACAGCTGCACTGTGCACCTACAACTACACTTTGGACGATTTTGAGGTTGAATCACTTGTAGAGTTTGGCACTAGAAAGCAGGCAGCCATGCAAACAACTCACCACCAAGGGGCACATGAGCTAGAGATCCCTGGATTTCCGAAAGGCATGCTTGGGAAGTCCGTGGAGTATGCAACTCGGTTGTTAGATGTCGGGACCGGCGGCGTGGATTTTGTTCTATCCACGCCTGTTACGTCGTTTTTCCGCCTTGTGACGATCAAGCAAAACAGAACCACCATCGGTGATTTCATGGACCCAGATCTCCTGATCTCGACAGCGTCAAATGTGTTCAAAGGTGTCGGTACACAGCTTCTTGGCACTGTGGCGTTAAACCCTGCTATTACATCGACAGAGAGAGGTTGTGTCACTGTCGTGGAGGATCGCCTGCACGTCACTGAGCTTTCCACGGCTTTTATGTGCACATTCCTATCTTTGACTACAATCCTCAGCCTTGCAGTGGTGTTTCTACGTCCTCAAGATGTGTTCCATCGTGAACCCGGATCCATTGCCGCAACAGCTGCAGTGCTCGCCTCAAGCCCGGGACTTGAAAAACTTCTGCTTGGTCTAGGGACCTCGTCGCAAGCTGCTATTTGCAACAGGCTACCAAGGTTCAACTTTCGGAGTTCCTACTACTATGGACCAGAACCCGCCTTCGTTGTCGAGTCTTTGGATAATGGACTAGCATCTATCGAAAAGAACAGCCGGGGCCATCGTGACACATGGTGGCGTCCCCTGGCTGGGAGAGCATGATTTCTTGTTCTCGCTATCACCCTGCCACTTGCCATGATCGCTGCCCTGGAAGCTTTGCAACGATCATCAGACAAGCGTGATGGACTCTTGGATATTGGCGAGTCAGACTCGCTACGTTTTGTAACATATGTACCGGCTGCTGTGGCAATCTACCTTGGGGGTACGTACTCAAGTTTCGGGTCGATGGCGGCTACTTTTGCTCCGTACTCGATCCTCAAGCAACGCAACGCCACCCCCGAGCGGTCGATCACTCTCCGGCTTGTTGGGAAGTTGGCACCACATGCGCTTCTCGATGCACTCAAAACACGGCATTTCAGTGTCGCCATCATTCTCGCGGCAAACTTCGTTGGCGGCTTCTTGACGATCGTCATCTCAGGCCTATATAGCGCCATTCCAGTTAACAACACTCGAACCGTGATGCTGCAGCAGGCGGACGTCATTGATCTGTCGGCCGGCAACATCTCACTTGAGGACAATCAGGCGGCAGCAATCACTTCACTTATAGAATATATCGACCTACAAAGTCCCCAGTGGACTTACGATGACTTGCTGTTCAACACGATGCATCCGATTACGAGCCCCTCCAAGCAGGACTTGTCACATGAACAGCCCCTTTCGGCCATGCTTCAAGCTGTGAGACCTGGCCTGGACTGCTTCACTATACCATCGAATGATCGTCATATTCAGGTGTACAATTACACAAACGGCCTGACGTTGATGCCAGGTATGACTGATGTTTACCCCGGTAGACCAGGAGAGCTTGTTGTTCAGGTAAACACAACGTTGAGGGTAGAGTGTTCACGACCTCTGGCAAACTCCACTTCAGTTTCCAAAGACTGGCTCCAGTACTTTGTCATTCCTGATAAAGAATCTGTCATCCACGTGGGCAAAGCATGCCTCCTCGGCTGGTTTGATGACACAAAGATTATCACATGGGGCGACGGAGCAACAGACACAAGTCCTGAATCGGGATCGGGCATGGGCGTGGAGGGTATCACGCTCGGAGACTCGGGGCGTCCGTCGATGGCTTTCACACTGGGGACCGTACGGGCAAGTCGATCTGGACGTAACGAGAAAGCAAGGCAATTCGCTGTGGAGAGTGACCTTGCGACACTCGTGTGCTACCAAAGAGTGGATTATGTCATGGCGAATGTCACATTTAGCGTACCTTCTGTGACCATTGACACACTCGTCCCTCCCATACGAGACGAATCAACAAGGACAGTCCTGGTAGATCCGACCACGAACACCACGTCCTTCGCGTATCCCATCAACCGCCTCTTGCTCTCAATCGCAAACTCGCTGACCGCCAACATGACAGAATCGGACGACATCGCAATTCTGGATGGGTTCAGTCGCGCTCTCCTGTCCGGACGCGGAGCGCAGCCGATCGAGACGCTCGCCGGGGAAGCAAACGTGGAAAACCTGCGCAAAGCGGTCACGAGGCTGTACAAGACGTACATGGCCCAAGCCATCTCGGCCAACATGCGACGGGATGCAGAGCTCTTACCTGCGCATGAAGGGAGGCTGACCTCGAGTGCGAGGCGCAGGCTATGGTATAATGTGAATAATGTCAAGGTCCAGGTGACCAGCTGATTTGATAAGACATAAGATGAGATATCAGCGGCTAACCAATGGAATATATAGATGTCTTGAAAGCAGAATAATCGTGCGCCGCACCAAAAAGTTGAAAATGCAGTGCAGCCCGTCTCGAACAAAACAAAACAAAGCAACGCTAACGCCCCCCAAAATAAGACTGCCTCACGAAGATCGTTTCTCAAAGTCGTCACGCTCCTACATGGACCTCTTGTCCAACGGCGGGCTGGCCCGCCTGCCCGTTGCCTTCGCCTGGCGCTGGTCCGTCATCGGGCCCGTGGGGCGAGAGCGGCTTCTTGGGATCGTAGCCGACGGCCTTGACGATGCCGAGTCCCTTTGTGCGGCCCTCACGGAAGAGCAGGCGGTCCCCTGGGGCGAGGTACTCAGGACGCTGCATGAAGCGGAAGGCCACGGTGGCGCGGTCGCCGGTTCGGATGTACGGACGATCAACGTCGATGATGGCGCACGTCTGCGAGACGGGTCCGACATGAAGCATGGCCTGATACCGTGTGCGAATGGTGGTTGCGTGGGACAGGATCAGCACTGCTCTACTCGTTAGTGGCGGACACGGACAAGGGTGGCATGGGGAGTGGCACGAACCCTCAGCGATGAACTCCTTATGCACCTTAGGGTTAGGCTGTCCCTCGAGCTTCGGCAGCACGACCATGCCCTTGCGGACATCCTTGCGGCGAATCTTCTTCAGCGCGAAGGACGCAGACTGGCCAGCAGATGCCGCGGGGACGCCCAAGCGCTTCCTTTCGATCGAACGGATGCTGGTCGTCATGAACTGGCCAAGAGAGTCGGGGCCGATAAGAATGTTGTCACCGGCGTGGATCACACCAGACTTGACGATGCCGGACACAACCGTGCCGACAAAGGGAACAGAGAAGGTGTCGTTGATGTGGAACTCAAAGGGAGCCTCCGAGTCATATCGGCCGTGGTGGGGAAGGATATTCAAGAACGTCCTCACAAGATCGAGATTAGCGCCTGTGACGTTCGACACCTGGAATACCGGGCAGATTCTCTGGCTGATGAACTGCGTGGCTGTGTTGATGCATTCTTCGCGATCCTTGATGAAGATGGGAATCTTTTTGGCGCCTGGACTCTTCAAGATTTTGGTAATCTGACCGATGGTCTGCTCGAGAATCTGGGGCGGACAAATGTCGACCTTTGTGATGACAACCATGACGGGGACATTGAGGGCTAGCGCGATGCCAAGGTGCTCCTTGCTCATACCAATGAGACCGTTGTTCGCCGCGACCATGAGCAGGCAGTAATTGGGGCTGCTGGACAATAGACCAAAGACCGTGGTGCGTAGATACTTTTCGTGGCCTGCCAAGTCAGTGAAGGTGATGACCTTGGAGCTGCGCTTGCCAATCTCCTCCCATGAGAGTTTACCTGCATTCGTTAGCTGGCAGTAGCTGATAGCTTGCGACGAGGATCACCTACGTCCAGGCACATCAGAGACAACGACCTGACCGGCGGTGTCAAAGCCCAAAATCTCCATGCCGACGGAACTGGTCCTCCCGGACTCGATTTCGTGCTTGTGGCGGAAGAGGTTGACTCGAGCTTTCCCCCGCCCGTCGTCAAGGTCACCCTTTACGAGGACACCAAGCAGCGAACTCTTTCCAGCATCGACTACACCGTCTTGTTAGCAAGACTACCAAGTGGGCAGGTGATGATCTTACCATTGCCCACGACTGCTATCCTGGTTTCGATCACGTCCTCCACTGTGTTTGGCTTCTGCCGAATCATGACCTTGCCGGAGCAGTCCTTGTCTTTGCTCGACTTGGCGCTCGGAGCTTCCACTTCTCCACCCACATTCTTCGTGAGCAGCAGCTGGCAGTTGGCATGGACCAGCTGAGCTGCTTCATCTAACCTCTTGTACGCGGTATGCCACTGGTCGAGATCAAGACCCAACGAGTCGCCATTGTTCTCAAAGCCGAGGTCGAACACAGTCTCGCCATGGCCCTCGTCTATCCTCTCGGCCAGGTTCTTGCTGAGCTGCTTCAACGTCTCTCCGTCGGCTCCGAGAAGCATGTCCTTGAGCCTGACACTCGGCCCCGTCGCATCGCCGAGGTCCAGGTTGTCGAAGAGCTCGTCAAGCTCGGCATGCTGGTGTTCGTCATTCGAGCCCGCGGCGGGCTTCGCAGCGCCGTCGGCAGCGGGCTTGGTGCTAGGGTAGCGCAGCGACTGCTGCTGCTCGACGTATTCGGCAAAGTCGCTGAGGGCTGCCTCCCCTATGCGCTTCTCGTGGGCTATTGCCTTGTTGATATTCTTGGTCGCCATGGTGCAGTGGGTGGCGGCTTTCTAGGCTGGTAATCGAGGTAATCGGTCCAACATTGAGTGGTGTCTTCGTAATAAGGAGTTTGCGGACGCCGTGCGGCAAGGCATATATATCGAGTGAAAAGAAGCCGTACGAACGCCGACCATTGAAGCGGACAATCTGAAGGGGAGGTTGAAGAACAGTGGGATGCGAGGACGATACTTCGAGTCATCGACATCCTTTTAGACCGGAGGACACGGCGTCATATTAGGGGACGGCGCCGAGCGCCAGGCGACCTGCCAGAACCGACAGGGACTCAGCCCAGTCAGTGGTGAGTAACTCGGCGGGGTTATCGATAAGAGCTGCCGCATTGGCCATTCGTCGAGGCGGGCCTGTGGGGCAGACGTCAGATGACGATCGATGCTTGCACGTGATTTGCATTCAGGGGCGAGTTGACTCAGGCCGGCTGTTGAACATGGCCAAGGGCCGTTGAGATTCTAGACGACATGGAATTTATGGTACAGAGAATGGAGACGTTCATTCACAAGGAGGAAAGATGGAGCGGGTATATGATGTGCAAGATGCACACCCGGTAAGCAGGATGTTTTGTTCAGATCGGCGCTTAAAAGATGTTTGCATTGATGTGCTGTGAGTGTACAGCCAACATGCGCCCTTGCTGATTGCTTGGCCGCTAGGCTTTAGCTGCCAGGCCTTGGGCGCTTCAATCCATCATCGCGGAGTACTGTTGAGCATGCCAGTCAGGTGTTGAGTTTGAATGGCTTCAACTTCATGACACAGGCCGGCGTCGAACAGTCCTCCGCCGTATGCGCTTGTCTCGTCGAGGCTATCACTGCTTGTGGAAATCTGTCGTTCCTCGAATCGGCGATAAGGCGAGGCAGTGGAGCACTTGGTTCCGTAGCATCTCTCATATGCTGCCGTAGCTGCTTCCTCAAGAAGATCCGTGGGGAGATATCAAGACAACGCTATCGCCTGGGGGAGTGTTAGTCAATGTTGCTACCCCTCGGTTCCACATGATCATACCTCGAACAAAAAGCATCTCAGACTTGCGGCTGATGGTCTAGGCACTGTCAGTCGCGAACAGCTCATACCGTCATGCATTGCCCAACGCACCTTGGCTTCCTCCTCGTCGTCATCCTCGTCTACCACATAGATTGTCTCCTCGACATCTCCGAGCACAATGTTGCAATGGCTGTCGTACGCCTGGTTGATGTCAGCCACTTCTCGTGAGCTTGATCAAGACCGGCGATTTTGACTCACATGTAGCCTGCCCTTCAGCTCGCGGTCACCTCGCAGCTTGACGAAGACGACCTCGTCAAGAAGGAGCTTGACCAGGTCGAGGGGCTCAGATACGTGAGTGTTCTCTTCTGCTGCGTCGGCCATGATGAGTCTGTTGCTTTGGGTGATGAGATGACGATGAGGTCGTGACGAGCGTCAAATGCCAAACGCGCGTGAATGCACGTTGTGGTGGGGCATCGGGGTGCATGGACCACCTCAGGTCAGGTCAGTTTCTGCCATGGAATTTCGTCGGCTCCCGCAGCATCAATATTCCGGTCGACAAAAATGTCTCGGCCAGAGCTTTGAGCTCCGACCCTCAACGCCAAAGGCTGGTCCCTGTCAATGCCCTAGAATCTGGGGAATCACCTCCACCTCTCCACCCTCATCTCCCCTTCTCTCCGCCTCCACGCATCCACCCTTTGCGTCTTGTGGGCCTCCCGCTGCTCCCGACACCTTTCCCCCTTCTGTCTCTCTCTCCCTGGTTTGCTCGCCCCTTACCCCTCATCGCCATGCCCTCGAGATCGCATCCATGATACCAACACTGTTCAAGACGGAGGCCATTGGCATGCGGCAGTGCCTCCGACCTGTGCCGCTGGGGACGTCCTCGCGTGTCTTGTTGACACGTTTGCGGAGATTCACACGCGCTCGCCCCGCACAAGATGGCTGGGGCCGCCTCGAGTCAGTGGAGAGGCCAGCAGCCTTCGATGTGCCTCCTGCCGTGAAGATGCCGAATTGGGGGTTCTTGAAGCCAAATACCGAAGATGTGCAGTCTGTGGCCGAGCCGAAGATTCGATACCTCGATCGTCAGCCGTCGCGTGCTCGCAGCGACCAGCGGCAGTTTGCGGCGACATCCACGCTGTGGGACCGGTCGGAAGAGGTGGCGATCAAGAACGACGATCCAATGGCGCCCGAGAACCTCTCGTCTCTCCTCGTCGAGACTCTGCGAACACGCGATGTCGTCGAGACGCTCAGCGTTGTGCGTGCGCTCGTCAATTCGCCTTCGACCGATGAAGCCATAGCTGCGATGCGGGTCATTCCGCGGACAACCGTCTCGGAGATTTTGCGCAGCTTGGACCCTCTCGAGGCGGGACATCGGCTCGATTGCACACACAGCTTGGTGATACCTGATCATCTGCAAGAATTTAGCCCCGTGGCGTTGGCTTTTGACGAATTCGGGGTTCGAAAAATCTACAAGGACCTCTTCACGACCATGCTCGCCTTTGTCGAGCTGCTGCACCAGGCAGGCCATCAGTTGATGCTCGCCGACTACGTTGTTCTGCTGCGGTGCGCCGGCGCGACATCAGATGTTACAGCTGCAAAGCGCGTTTGGAAGCTCATGGATCTCAACGAAGTCTGGGATCTCCGCGAGAGCTTGGGCTACGACGAGCTCGTCAAGGCGCGCTATCTAGTGGAGCCTCTCTACCGCCAATATGACCTCGCAAGGGTGCGACTGAGGCCCCGAAACCTGAGAAAGGTCAACCGGCCTGACATGGCGCTGCGCGGACGCTTGGAGAGGCTTCGGCTGTACGAGGCACGCTCTAAATACCACGCCTACGGCAAATCACCACATCAGCCAGAACGGGACCTGCACTGGGTGCTCAACCTGCCGGGGCCGCTGAACCGAATCTGGTTCAAGATGCTCAACCAGGGCGTCACCATCACCGAGAGCCTGCAGTGCTCGTACCTCGTGGCCTGCGGCTACGCAGGTAATCTGCGCATGATTGAAACGATTTTGGCGCGCTTTTATGACATATCCATAGTCGATGGAAAGACGAGGCGTGGCATCACAGCCGACAGCCGAAACGTCCTCATCACGGGCGGTCGCAAATTCCCCCACGGACACCCCTTGACACCAACACCGCGGCTGCTGAACGCCATTGTCCATTCGCTGGGTGCAGCCGGCTACGTCTTGCTTGCGAAGAAGCTCGTCGAGTTCTTCTCGCAGCAGTACAGAATCGACATACCCGCAGCGACCTGGTCCGACCTGCTCGACCACACCTACATCATCTCGACGCACCGCGCACAAGTCGAATGGGGCATGTATGAATCCAACATGGCCGTCAAGAACAGGGACGTCAGAGCCGAGGATGTCCTGGACGTCTACCACACCATGACGGCGCACGGCATCGAGCCCTCGTTCGAGGACCTCGACAAGCACGTCAACGCGCTCATCCAGTCCGGCGCCTTCGACGAGGCCCTGGACCGCCATCCGGTCGGCAGCGCGCACTACCGCACGCTCATGGCCGAGACGCAGGACGCCTTCTTCGAGGCGCTCTACCCGTCCCC